AAGGATGAGTACAACCCCAAGAACACCATCCCAACCGTGAAGCATGGAGGTGGAAACATCATTCTTTGGGGATGCTTTTCTGCAAAGGGGACAGGATGACTGCACCGTATTGAGGGGAGGATGGATGGGGCCATGTATCGCGAGATCTTGGCCAACAGTCTCCTTCCCTCAGTAAGAGCATTGAAGATGGGTCGTGGCTGGGTCTTCCAGCATGACAACGACCCGAAACACACAGCCAGGGCAACTAAGGAGTGGCTCCGTAAGAAGCATCTCAAGGTCCTGGAGTGGCCTAGCCAGTCTCCAGACCTGAACCCAATAGAACATCTTTGGAGGGAGCTGAAAGTCCGTATTGCCCAGCGACAGCCCCAAAACCTGAAGGATCTGGAGAAGGTCTGTATGGAGGAGTGTGCCAAAATCCCTGCTGCAGTGTGTGCAAACCTGGTCAAGACCTACAGGAAACGTATGATCTCTGTAATTGCAAACAAAGGTTTCTGTACCAAATATTAAGTTCTGCTTTTCTGATGTATCAAATACTTATGTCATGCAATAAAATGCAAATTAATTACTTAAAAATCATACAATGTGATTTTCTAGATTTTTGTTTTAGATTCCGTCTCTCACAGTTGAAGTGTACCTATGATAAAAATTACAGACCTCTACATGCTTTGTAAGTAGGAAAACCTAAAAAATCTGCAGTGTATCAAATACTTGTTCTCCCCACTGTAGAATTGCAGGAAATGAGCTTTAAAATGTCATTTTATTTCAGCTCCATGGCACAATGTGTATAATTGCAGGAAATTTGGTCTGTGTATGTTTTTTCACCGCTCAAACCTTATGGTGGGTTGCGACTCAAAAGACACCTCAACTGGTGGGTTACGAAGCAAAAAGGTTTGGGAACCCCTGTCTAAGCAGCTGTAGTGTTGTATTGATCTGAGGGGATGGTTAATTGGGTGTAACACCAGGAGCCGGTCAGCTCTGAAAGGCACTGACTGGCTGCATGATTATAGTGGGCATGAAGCCAACCACACACAGTTAGACTGCAGCCTCAGAACTGAGTGATGAGAAGTTATTCTGCATGCTAACCTAGGGTTGGTTGAACATGGATCAAACATTAACTTTTATAATGAACGAGATCAAACAACACTTACCATGACCAGAATGTAAGATTTCTCATATCCTTGTCTTCTTCTTCAGAATTCTGTAGTAATTTGTGATGTAACAGGCCAAAGGTCTTGAACTCAGCCTCGTGGCCTGTTGGCACCAGGGGGGTATACTACTAACCAAGATCAATGGCTTGGCCAGCTAACTTGGCAAAATATTCTGAAATAACTAAAAAGAAAAATAGAAATATGAGCATAAAATGGGCACAGTCTAATTAACTTAACCAAAAACACATATCTAAGCTTTGCTTTCTTAATGGAGCAGAAAATCAATAGTTATTTCTGGTTGTTTATAAAAGTGAGTTGGTCAATTCATTAATCCTTCTTTGTAGTATAGTCCTCTGGTGTTCCTGGGTGTGGCCTCTGGTATAAAAGTTTGGCCGTTCTGTTCATTCAGAGGGGAGACGTTCAAGAGCTCTGGCCTGTTAGTTACTTACATCCATGTTATAGTTTTTTCAGTTTAATGTTATGTACTCTTCATGTATATGTTATGTCCACAATTACTGTCAATTGTGTTGTTTTCATTTTCTATTTGAATACTCTCTTTAAAGTCTGTCTCCTGTCCTCAATCTTACTAACCGTTAATCAGCCTGAATGCTGAGGGAAGAGTTGTTCTCATGCATTGAGTGTGTGTGTGTGTATGTGCACGTTGTGTAAAAAGCAGATATTCCATGGAGTGTCACCTGCTTGTCCTTACGGGTCATGTTCTTTGGAATTTCACTTAATCTCAGTGTTTGTCCTTTTTCATTCACCAATGACAAACATTATTGTTTAGGTTACCAAAATGTTTGGAACCTTCGAAATAGGTAATTGACCATGGTCATTTGGGGAGTAAATTGGGGAATCTGTGGAAGGTCTTGGTATGGATAAATTTTGTATCAGTACACCCATTTCCCCCCTAACTCACCACCATAGGGTAAGAAACATAGCTTTCTGTCAACATTAGTGGACAAGCTTCAATAATGACACTTTTGCTATTTAGCCTTTATAAATGAATGTGGTACTGAACTTAAACAACTCCCCCTTTATCTCCTGACACATTCAAGCTTTTCTGTAATGGCAAGGGACTATATACCCTGCCCAAGTCAATTGAATATGGATAATACACACTGTTGTAAGAGTAATATTTATACGGTCATTAAATGAGATGAGACGACTTTAATGTAGTCATGACACTGAAAAGCAAGATCTCAGATCACAAGTGAACTTAGTATCAAAGACATTCAGTTTGAAATGTTAAGTGAGAATGAACGACAGAGAAATTACATAGAGCTATATGATTTGACACAGGTTACATATGCGTAAGTGTGTATGTATGTGTATTTACGCATTCATATGCATACTCGTTCAAATATTGTACATATGACATGACAAACTAGTTTTTCTATATCGATGATGATTTCATAAAGAGGTACATAATATTTATGTATTATGATGGGTCTGGAAATGTATAAGAGTATGGTTTTATATTCATAGCAAATTACTATTTTTAGTATTGGGGAAAAAATATCCAAACACTAAATCAGAAGAGATTTTTATAGCAATTTTTCAGGGGAAAACATGCATCCAATGAATGTTTCTATATGTGGAGGCCACTGTGAAAAAATAAAATGGGGACAGAAAAAAGAAAGTGTCTTGGTTGTGTTCTTACTTTGGCTCTTCTCCATATATTGAGAAAAAAGCCCTTGCTGTCTATGGACAAAACGCCATTTACCATGCCACTCATATTCTAAGTAAATGAATGATCTACACTGTGAGTTCATATAGCTTCATTGTGGTCAACAACAAAGAATAAAACAACAGCTTTATAGGACACATTCAAGTGGCACAATTCCTCCATAGTTTTAGTCACAAAAAGCAAGAAGACAGAAGTTCAAAACAAATCAAGGCCAAGCTTCAAATCATTGACAAATGAGAGCAGTCATTGTGTCAAATATTTATTTTAAAACGTTTATTGATTAAATTCATGTAGGGAAAACAAATAGTAGATCTCTTTTCTCCAGTGTACAGCAAACCACAGCTGGTAAGTGTGTTTCAACCATAGCACACGAGGCATGTCAATACATGCACAGTTACGTGTGCGAATGTGTATGTTCTATATATTGAATATAAACACAAATATATTTACATACACAATGAATAGAAATCATAGTCAAATTTGATACCATTTCTTCACTGCCTGGCATGCATCACCTAGCGCTCAGGTTGTGGCATTGTCATGTGCCCCACCCCAATGGTTGTCTGGTTAGGGTCACAGACATTTCCCAACTCCACATCATGACCACCTCAGCCTACACCAGCTATACTCAAGCAGAGGAATAGGTATTCAGGGCCAAGATGTGTGTAGGAGAGTGCTGAGGCTAGGGTTTCCATTTCTCAATCACTAATGCTCCCCCATAGGAGGAACCTGTCATACTGCCTGCCTGCCACACTCACAGTCAAGCAGAACACTTCAGTTGAACGGGTAACCAGATTATGACAAGTCCTAGATAAAAACATGACACCACCAGGCATAAACATGTGTTAACAGTTCAGAACATCTTGCAAGCTGAAAATCCTGGACAATTTATGAATACTAAATGCATGTCAGATACCATATAAATACCCCTTCAAACAAAGTGTTTCGTGCTGAACACACACACACACGACTAACCAGTTTGCTACAGTACAGGGTTAGTGCACTGACTCCCATTTCTTGTCAACACAGTCCTGGCACAAACCAAATGCACCCTGCACTGATGATAAAGATGTTAAATAACATTAAAATGCCCCACAGGTGACCAAAGCTAAGGGGGTTAAATCCATAGCTGTGAAGAGGTGCTGATATGAGGGTGTTTGGTGCATGGGAGTCCTGCGGCTGGAGGGCTACCCAGGCATTAACCCAAAACTACTACGCCCAGAGGGCCTCTATCGCAACAGTCCAACAGGGAAAGCCAAATAACTAACTTTTCATTCAAATCACATATTGGCAGTATCATTGTTTTTAAAAAAATGTGGAAGACTTTTTTTTCTTCTTTTAAAAGTAAACTTAGAGCACGATAAGACTGCAGTGGTGATGGCAGAGCATTGTGTCCCAGGGCCATGGGAGTGGTTCACTGCTCTGACCAGCTCTCTAAAAACAGGTCGTTGGCTGATCGATCAACATTACTGGAGGTTAAAGGGGAGAGGAGAAAAAGCTTGGCAACTATTTTACAAAGAGAAACAAAGAAGATAGAAGTCACCAATTCTGTCCATTGGATTAGTTGCTAAAGGGTGCCCATCAATCATCTTCCTCAAGTCAAAAACAAACTAGTTCATGATCAGTTGGTGTGAACCATGGTAAATAAAGGTGTCTGAAAAGTCTAAATAAAAATGTACAAAGGTTATGAATCCCTTCCCCCATACCCCATCCAGTTATTCCATTTAGACCCCCGCCCCCAAAAACAAAAAAAATCATCCAAAAAGGTGAGTCCTCCTCTTCATGTGCAGAGTTTCACTTAACTCGTAATGTCCCGTGTGAAGTGGAATGACAAGGAGAAAATAGATACAGATGTAAGAATATTTGTATATGCATATAGAAATCAGAGCATTATGGCTGTCAGTTTTCAGCTTGCAGATCCCTCAAGAAAGGAGGATCTTTTAAATATTGCCCATCTGCTGAATTCCAAATAAAACTTGATCTGACTAATAAAATCTGTACATTTTTTGTTTTTAAGTCTTCTTGATTTGTTTGTTCAAAGGGGACCGTTTATTTCATTGTATATTTATTAAATCTATCTTAATTTAGATGCTTGGAGTCCCATCCCGTGTGACTTCTCTGAAGCAGACGCTGGTGGTCTTTGTGATTGGAGTTCGAGTTCGCTAGCAGCACTTTTTCTTTCGTTTACTGTTCTTGGAGAGTTTGACCACGTCGTTCTGTTGCTGCTGCTGCTGCTTGGCCAGCACCTCCTTCTTGGCTCTTAGCACTAACTCTGTGATGCAGTTAAACATCTGTGGGGAAAACACAAAACATGGTGAACACAATCAACTATAACATTTTAGGATGAGAGCTTGTTTTCTTCCCCATGTCCCATGCACAACTCTACCCCCTCAACTTTCCCCTAGTATTATCGGAGGGCCCCTGACCAATGACTTACCTCTTCAACATTGATGTTCTCTTTCGCACTCGTCTCAAAGAGGTTGATGCTCATCTGCTCTGCAAACTTCTGTGCGTCAGTCGTCTCCACCACCTTTGAGTTGGGGTCATCGTTCTTGTTTCCCACTGAGGGACAATACGAATAGGAAGACCATTTGAGCTTTCTCAACACCAAGTAGGGACCATAAAGTATTTTATTTTTTCCCAAATTCCATTTAGCATTTTCCCAAATTCCTCTTTTCAGATTTTTTTCTGTTTTTCAACTCTCAAAAGTAACTTTTTATTTGTTTTAGAAACAAATAAATTGGATGTTCTGAGTCCATGTCAATGCAAAAAGTAAGAAACGTGTGAACCCCACACACGCAGACAGGGTGAAACGTGCAAATTAATACATTTTTCTAATTACTTCAAAAAACCTAATTAATGTTCTACTAACTTAATCACATCTTTGAATATTCTGTTTTAATGTCTGGATTCCACCCGCAACACGGATTTCATAAGGCCCTTTACAAGGGTCCCTGATGCAACAACACTGCACTGGGTAAAGGTCTTTGAAACAGGTGGACTGGACTCACCTAATATTCGACAGACATCATCACAGTTCTGGTTGATTTCATGTAGCCATCGTTTCACATTGACAAAAGACTCCGCACTCGTGACATCATATACCACTATGACCCCATGTGTTCCCCGGTAGTATCTGGAGACAGAGAGAAAGAGAGCGAGAGAGCTGTCAGCATTTTGATTTACATTTCATGTCCACTAGGGGGAGCCCAACTCAGAGAGAACAGAGTCAAACTACAGGTAACTGCCAAAATAAAGGAAACACTTCAATAAATGAGGGACACAGAGTATTTTGAAAACAGGTTCTTCCAAAAAGCTGTGGTTCCTGAGTTAATGAAGCAATTAACATCACATCATGTTTAGGGTAATATATAAAAGATGCCCAGTTGCCCATCATTTTGCCTACCATGGCTAGAAGAGATCTCAGTGACTTTGAAAGGGGGGTCACAAAGAAGCATAGGGGGTTTAAAGGGTGTGTGTGTCACCAGATCAACCCAATTGAACACTTATGGGAGATTCTGGAGCGGCGCCTGAGACAGCATTTTCCACCATCACCACCAAATGATGGAATTTCTCTTGGAAGACTGGTGTTCCATCCCTCCAATAGTGCTCCAGACCCCTGTAGAATCTATACCAAGGCACACTGAAGCTGTTCTAGTGGCCCAACACCCTATTAAGACACTTTGTTGGTGTTCCTCAATTTTTGCAATTACCTGTATTACACAAACACACATGAGATGTTCAATCAATCCCAACAAACTGATGTTAACAAAGCAAAAAGTATGATTGAAGACAAATGAGCCCAGGACTGCCCATGCTCACATGAAGTAGAAATGCTTCCTTATGATCCCAGACCAGGGTTCCCCCAATAGATGGCCCGCAGGCCATATTCTGCGATTTTATTTACCCTAAGTTTAATGTTTTTTATTTATTTATTATATATACACACACAATTTGTTCTTGGACATAAGACTAAAAATCACCAGTAAATGAGCTCAAAGTGATTTTAATTTAGAAAATCTGTTCAAGTATTCCCACGCATAAATAGAGAGGCATATGTGATCGTATCCCAATGTAATTAAGGTTTGAAATTATTCTGTTTTTTTGTCAAATACTATATCTGTTCTTCAAATCAAATCAAATCTTGCGGTCAATTTGCAGTGTACAATTGATTTAGAACTATGTTCCGGCCCATGACCATCCGCTCAAGGAACGACTCGTCCCACGGCTGAATGAAATTGGGGATAGGGACCACCTGCCACTGACGCAAACCGATTCCAATAAATGGCACAATATAACAATACTGTATTTCCTTTCGTCACCCTGCAACAGCCAAAATGAACTGAAAGCGTATTACATATACACCGACTCCACATGCCGCTCGGAGTTCAATAATCCCTATTACTGTTCCTGAAAATATGAGAGCAGGAAGTGGTGTGTCTCTGAGGCAGGGCAGGGCAGCAGTCGGCAGGAAACGGGAGCGGATGCTTATCACAGGAATATGACAGATGTACATGGAGGGGAAAGGCAGAGATGCAAGTAGAGGACAGTCACAGTATTCATGAAAACCTGCAGCCCCCCCCCCAAAGAGAGGGCGCATCCCCTATCTGACTGCAATGCACCACACACAATACGCCTTTCAAAGGGCTGTGTGTGTGTGTGTGTGTGTGTGTGTGTGTGAGATTGCATTGGCCTGACAGAAGCGTTGTCTGTCACAGCCCAGCAGTAACGGACCAGTCAGCGGGGGCGTTCTGCACATATGAATGGAGAACCACAAACACGCAGCAGGCACAGGGGCAAGACTCCCAGTCCCTCCCTCCACCACACACACACAGGCTGCTGTCCACTACAAAGACACATATTCAGACAGACATATGGCAGCTATGGACTGTGACTGACTGAAAGACAGACATATGGTTAAACACAGCCTGGCTGGGCTGACCACCGACTAACGGAGGTGGGGTTTCCCCACTCCAGCACGGAGGGCTCTGTGAGCCATCCCGATCCTGAAATTCACTTAGGCCTAATGAGGCACCATGCCACTACTTCTCCACAATTAATCAGCAAAAACAACCAGGCAGCACTCGCCACCTCCCTCCTCACACAGCCAGCCAGGTTTCCTCAGCTCTGCAGCAGACACACCGACTCCATTTTGTAGACTTGTAGGAGGTATTCCACAGGAAAACCAGCAGATCTGTTTGAGGGGAAAATCACCATATTTTCCAGAGGGGACTTGTGGAAAAATCCACAGGTTCGAATGCCTCCCTTTCTGAACACCTTTTTAAAATTTATTTTTATTGAGTGAATGGCCAAAGCGGCAAGGTTTCTAATTTCTCCACACTTTCATAGTCCCAGGCAATCAAAGCCAAACAGTATCAACGTTCTGTACAGTCCTTGTCAAAGTCCAAAGGGGTAATGGTTTTTATACGCTGTGCTGTCCATGTCAGATGGTTGTTAGGTGCTGTAATGCGGACTAGCTCACAGACCTTTAGTCCACCCTCCTGAGTGACGGCATTCTTGTTCAGGAACACGGACTACTCATCACTACACATATTTCTCATGACAGAGAGGAGAATGGCTGGACACTCTCTCTCATCCACTTCAGCTTAGGAAGTACTCGCTTGAGAGAAGATACCAGCCATAGTTCAAAAACGAATATGAATTCAGAGAGGAATGTCTTCCAATTCTGTTTTTACTTGTAATTTGTGCCACAATTGAAAAAAGGCAATGACGTGACCATATTCCACTTGGCACATTACGAGAAAAATGTATGATCCCTCTGACAGCCGGCTCAATACCGGTGTCCCAAGAAACCTAGGCTCCACACTGCACAGGAGGAATTATCTGGCAAACATGCAGCCATGGTACGCAACGGACAGAAAATGTGAACATTTGGAGAGTGAGGGCAAGGACAAGAAAAGGAAAAAATGAATTTCCATTGGAACAAATGATGTACATAAAACAAGGTGAAGCAAATCCATGGGGATGACACCCAAGTGAGAGAGGCATTGAGCTCCAATCTTTACTGTCCTATAATTCTGTGTGACTAAAACCCACCTGTTACTAAAATCTGTAATTAGGCTCTGTGGGGAATTCCATCAGTTTCCAAAAAGAGCATGGAAGTTATTCTAGATGTCTTTGAAGTACTTGCTCAAACTATCTTGAAAGGCTGGCCTCGTAAAATATCCCCTAAATATCAGCTGACATGTGTTTGAATGTTGTGTGGTTAATGGGACACATGAGTCTTGCTAACAGCCCAGTGTGAAAGTGAAAGTCAGTCTTGCTAACAGCCCAGTGTGAAAGTGAAAGTCAGTCTTGCTAACAGCCCAGTGTGAAAGTGAAAGTCAGTCTTGCTAACAGCCCAGTGTGAAAGTGAAAGTCAGTCTTGCTAACAGCCCAGTGTGAAAGTGAAAGTCAGTCTTGCTAACAGCCCAGTGTGAAAGTGAAAGTCAGTCTTGCTAACAGCCCAGTGTGAAAGTGAAAGTCAGTCTTGCTAACAGCCCAGTGTGAAAGTCAGTCTTGCTAACAGCCCAGTGTGAAAGTGAAAGTCAGTCTTGCTAACAGCCCAGTGTGAAAGTGAAAGTCAGTCTTGCTAACAGCCCAGTGTGAAAGTGAAAGTCAGTCTTGCTAACAGCCCAGTGTGAAAGTGAGTCTTGCTAACAGCCCAGTGTGAAAGTGAGTGTTGCTAACAGCCCAGTGTGAAAGTGAGTGTTGCTAACAGCCCAGTGTGAAAGTGAGTGTTGCTAACAGCCCAGTGTGAAAGTGAGTCTTGCTAACAGCCCAGTGTGAAAGTGAGTGTCGCTAACAGCCCAGTGTGAAAGTGAGTGTTGCTAACAGCCCAGTGTGAAAGTGAGTGTTGCTAACAGCCCAGTGTGAAAGTGAGTGTTGCCTCTGCCTGTACTTACGTGGAGGTGATGGTGCGGAAGCGCTCCTGTCCTGCCGTATCCCAGATCTGCAGCTTCACCTTCTCCCCATTGATCACCACTGTCCGGATCTTGAAGTCCACTCCAATTGTGGTGATGTAGCTACCTGCCAACAGGTTATAAGACACAGTGTTTGATTTGCAAGGCAAATACTCGCAATAGTGCGAGTTGGACAGTTGTTAAAATGCAACAGACCAAATGACCCATAACCTGCTAGGGGGGTTAGGAGTAACATTTACTCTTACCTGAAAAAGTGTTGTCTGCAAACCGCAGGAGGAGACTGCTCTTCCCCACTCCTGAAATGGAGAGAAAAGGACAGGTTGAGTCAGGTTAAAAAGGCTCACAACAAGCTAGGCAGGAGATTCGATTTCTTACCACCCTTTAATTATGACATTTAAGCTACACAGAGGTTTGTATAAGTAAGCTAACTTGAAGGAAGATTGATTTATCTGACTTCGGGTTGTTTTGTAAACATATGCTTGCCACTGTGCCACCAAGGAGTTAACAGATCTCCACAGGTTTTTCTCTCTAATCATGAAAGAGCCAGGAAGAATAAGAGGACCATAACCACCTAAAACTAGGCTGGTGTGTCTCCTGACCTCTTTAGTATAGGTAAATTAGCTCAGTCAGCCAGCCCTTGAATGCATGCACTCAGACAAATACATGTTACCTAGCGTAGCCTTTGTATAAGGACAGTGATAACTGAACTCTGCATAACCTTTAGTAGGTTAAAGATCACAATAATACTGAGGAGAAGGTTTGATACAAATGATGCAGGTCAGGTACAGATCATAACATCCTGGGACTGTTTCGCAAATAACTTTGTACTGTGCACCAATAAGCAATGAAGTAACACATTCAGCGAATTCCCCAAGAGGCACAGACAGGTGGCTAGCTAACCGTCAGGTGAGTTGGCCAAAAAGTCAGCGCTGAACTGTGAGTCCAGGAGGAGGGACTAACAGCTCAGATCAGTTGCTAGCTGAAGGTAATGTGATCGTGTCTGGCTGCAGTTGATTGGTCCCGAGTTAAAAGCCAATCAGAAAACAAATCCCTCTGATCACTCACTGATCTCTGGAGTCTTGTTCTTTCACCAGACTCAACATTACTTACAGCTACAAGAAACAGAGATAGTGTTCTTTACGTGGGTGGAACATCCTTTTAACAATACTGTCACCTATCAGGCCACTAACAACCACATAAGCCTAACATTCACACAGACAGAGCATCTGGGGAATCCCAGTGCTCTACTGCATCACACATTCCTCCCTGTTGATGTCCAATCAGGAGGATAATAAGAGTTCTGTCATGCTCTACCAGCTACCCAGACAAAGCAGAACCAGATCACTATATAGGCTATATCATTATCATCTTTTAAATCAGGCCCTGTCATATGCCAGGAAAACCAATCTTTGTTTTGAATGATGGACTGGACAGTCTAGTCAGTCAGCAGGGCCGGAACGATACCAGTATCGCGATGCTCGTTAATATTATGGCAAGGAAACAAAACACAAAGCGGATTTAACTTCTTTAAGAAAACAGCCCTAATGTTGGAAACAAACATTATGTTGTCATCCAGAGTCACATGTATTTATTTTCCAAGCTATAGCACACACATTTTACATACAGCAGTTTTTAAAGGACCAAAGATTGTCTGCTTCATGTTGGCAAAAAAATATTGCAATACTGGTATCATCCCAGCCCCATCAGTCAGTCTTGATAAGAGTGAATGATAATCAATGACTGGGTAAGTCGAGGGGAAACCCGTTGAAGCTCTGGTACCAGGCATGTCCATATCTGGTCTGACTGGTAAAACAGCCCTGTGATACTTGGGAAGACGTATCAGTGCAGCCCTGTCTGTGAAGGAGTACTTAGCTGTCATATAGGAACCTGTGGTGAAGATATAGGCCATTGCCTGCTCACAACTGTGTCCAGGGCAATGATAAGCAAAAGCCACAAAATACAGTACATCATTCAAATCCTCAGTACTATCTTTTGGCCAGGTAACAAAGGTGAGGCACAGTCGCCTGGGTGGGTGCCAGTCGATTTCTGCTTTGTTATCATGCAAAAACACCAGCTACAGGTGAGGTGGACCTCTGTCAGTCCAAATACTGGTTTTCCTTGACCAATTACCTGCAGAGGGACCAAGAGGAGCAGAAAGGTACCCTTGATCAGAGCTCCTAAACCCTGTATGTCAGATCAATCTTTGCAGCAATTGAATGTTTAGGCTGTGTGAGACGAGGGGGGGAGGAGGACTAGCATTTGAGCATTGGTTTAAGTCTTCCCTGAATCTCATAAAAGTGGTACCAATACTGGTTCCAGACTGCAGCCGAGGGGACACAGGGCCCTCTGTGTCTGTGGTAGTAAAAGGGCTGCTGTCTTGCCCACTATTGTGATCAGCCAGCTGATGGGGTAGTGCCAGGACTGGCAGTGTCAATGGCTGCAAGGATCTTTACCGACAAAGGGATTGTGGACTTGGAAATGCAATGTTAGTGTAGATTTCCTTTCACATGAATGCAACAGTCTTTAGAATTAAAATGAACATGGTGGAAAAAAACTGCAAATGAAGTGGTAGTATGGTTCTTAATATACCTTATATTCTGGAATTCAGGCATTAGTTGGATCTTGATAGGAAACAATTTCAATTCCTTCCTCATTGGTCTACAAACGTTAGGCCCCAAGCTAGGGTATCATCTAGAAATCATTCAAGGCTCACTGTAAACAACGCTGCACTTGATGCAATCAGTATCACATAAATATTGCTAGTTAGCTATAGTTAACATTCCTTCACACAGGGAACATGCTGCAGAAACGAAAAAAAAATTCTAACTACATTGACAAACCACCTAACGTTACCTAGTTAACTAGCCAGCACCCCGGAGTAGCTGGTTGTCAACTCAAGGGAGGCTAGTTTTCTAGCTCCTGGGCTAACAAAACAAATACGATCCAATAGTTAACGTTGACTGGCTAGTTAGCTAGCATGCTAACAACACTTGGCTAGTTGTAAGAAATAAGTCAAATGTTGAACTACAATGTTCATACTTGCAACACCATAATAGCTAGTTAGGTAAATATCCCGACAAATAACAAAAACAAATATTTCAATGGATGGAATTCGTCCCAGTGCAGTGTGGCAGTACTAGAAGCTATCGTGCAGCGAGCAATATCTGGCCTGATCGGCTGACATGCCCTGCGATGCGCTAGTGTCATTGCTCGAAAATATTGATGTGCATTTTAAAAACTACACATAGTAACGTAGACGTTCACTTAAAAATTAGTCCAAATTCACGCTAGGAACCTCGACCTACTTTTCTGCGACTCATTGTGTAAAAACCTGGAGGCCCATTTCCCGTCACGCATCCCCGGTATTCGCTTACCACTATCACCGATGATGAGCAGCTTGAATAGGTAATCATAGTCCCTGGCCATGCCGGTAGTTGGTGGGTTACCCCCGCCTTTTGCCGTTTACTCTGCTCTACCTATCGACTTGCTGTCCGAACCCTTGGCTTGTCGTACACCAGCACTACCCTCGATGCCCAATTGCTAGCCCCCAAGCCGGCGGCTTTTTTCTCGGGGATTCGAGGTGTCAGCAATACTCTCCCTCCGCTACAAATAGCCGGAACTCCGTTTCCTTCTCTGGTAGTGGCTGCACCCAACCCCTACGCGATCCAAGCTCACTGCGCAGACGCACGACAAAGTCGTGGGCCCATTGATGGAGGGTGCTATTGACTTCAGGTTGGCACCTTTTTTTCCATTGGTTCCCGACTAACTCTACACCCTTGACCAGGGCCTTGTTTAGCAGATACAGGGTGCTGTTGACTTCAGATTGGCACATTTCCATTTGTTCGTGAATAACTCTACACCACGTGTCAAACTCATTCCATGGTGGGCCGTGTCTGCAGGTGTTCGCGCCTCCGTTATGCTTGGTTGATAAATTAAGGTCCCTAATTAGGAAGGAACTCCCCTCACCTTGTTGTCTAGGTCTTAATTTAAAGGAAAAAAACTAAAACCCGCAGACACTAGGACCTCCATGGAATGAGTTTGACACCCCAGCTCTACACCCTTGACCAGGGCCCGGTTTCCCAACAGCATTTACGGCTAAGTTTATCGTTAGAACCATATTCTAATGATTACCTTAGCCTTAAGATGCTTTTAGGAAACCGGGCCCAAGACTGACTGCAATCAGAGCAACACGAGTCATGGCTCAACCGCACCACATCCAGTCTGTGTATCCAAGTCACAGGCACCAGTTTTTCACGCATTTAAACTAATTGTAATACATACTTCTCTGCATCTAGAGGTCAAATTACATATCAGCAACATTTCAATTTTGTTTAACTTGTGAATCAAGGCAAAAGGCCAAATTCATTTACAGGGTGCCTAAAAGTACTGAGTTAATTCAGACAGTCAACCATTATCAAGTCAAGTTTTATTTGATTTGTTTTTTTACAACCATATAATTGATAAGAATATCAACTTTATCATGATAACTGGTTGCTTTCCCCACACAACTCTATCACACACACAAAAAAAAAAAAGAGGGATAAAACTGTGGAAAAGCAGCCGTATAAATGTAATTGCTGCTTTGTTACACTGGTGTCAGTGATGCTCGAAATAAATTCAGTAAAATAAGAGGGACATTGAATACATTTAAATGTCAAAAGGGAATTGGGACAAAATACTATATGCAGTGAGCTAACAGGAGTTTTACCTGCACTTTGTGAGAGAGAACCAATGTTATAAATGTATGTTTATAGAGCCACTAAAACAAGACAATTGTCCAAAGAGGTGGGAATATAAAGGAAAGTGAGTGTTCATACTCATCCTTGGTCCATGGATAACATGGAGTTAATGGGGATGTATGTGTGTGTGAGGGTTCTCTCCATAGATGTATGTATTTATGAGACATAACAGCTTAGTTTCTCTTGATTGCTGTGGAGGTCTTTTCTGAGTACATGAGCAACAGTATGAATTTTTTAAGCTCGGTTAAATCCTGTCTATCACGTGAGGATGGTGTCGTCAATCTCTTCGTTAGAGTCCGGAAGGCTGGTGATCTTCTTCAGGGAGCGGCGGTGGCACTCGGACAGCAGCTCATTACTAGCGGAGTCAAGGATGGCACTAACGCTCTGAAAGACAAACATAACATCACAGATTGTATTGTGAATGCACGCACAACTCAAATCCATCAGGCCAAGTATTATCTTCTTTATAAAGAGTATTGATACTGTGTGAACGTTTATTTGTGCAAGTGTGTTTGTCACTGACTTGCATGGTCTGCTCTCCCTGGCGCAGTCGGAGCAGACTGACGATGGTGTGTTCGCTTTGGCCTCGGACACTGGTGTTCTTGTCCTTGGTGTTGTCCAGCAGGCTCTTCAGCAGAGGCTTGATGAGGGCTGGCTCCAGGGAGGGCGTGGCCTCGTCCTTAAACACCCACCACAGCACCCGCTCCGACACCAGCCTGATGTCACTGGACTGGTTCTGGAGACACTGCAGGGGAAATGACAGGGGAGAGGTTACTGACAAATCCTCAGAGGAGCACTGTCATAGTGTTCTTATTTCTTACAGATATGTCCATACTCATGCAGCCACAGTGTTTAACAATATACCCACTTTCAGTGCTTGATTTGAGAAACATTCATTTTGTAAATGGGGAAAAAAGTGACGTAACAGACGGCTCCTGAGAAAATACCCCCCTGCCTCACCTTGACAAACTGTGTGATGATGCGCTGTGATGAGCCACTTCCTTCCTCGGTTCTGAGATGATGTCTCATCAGGTAGCCCATGGCTCTGATCCCACTTGTAGCTATGGGGATCTGGAGGAGACGACAGTACAGTGTTTAGTCAGAGAAGAGAACGAGGTATGGAAGGTGATGGTTTGACAAGCCAATCCTTCCACGGTCTGGGTGAACAGAATGAGTAAGCTAAAGGGAGCGGTATCCACTTAGATCTGACCAAATGTATGACGTTCCTACCCTGTCTGCGGTGGCATTGGCCAGGATGGCCTCAGTCACGGTTGAACTGTACTCCTCCACACACAGCTGCTCAGGGGCAGACTTGACTGCGATGGCCAGAGCCATACTGCGACCATGACGCACCATCCAGTCCACGCCTGATATGTCAGCTAGTAGAAGAGCAGGAACATTTTTAATAGATTAAACAGAAGTCTTTCCTCACTACATTATAGTGTTGATAGAGTGAGAGTTAAGTGTTAGAAATGATAGTGTTAATGAATGTGTGAATACCTTTTATCATGTGTTAATGTTTGTGCTATATAAAGGGTAGTGCGTAGGGGAGAGTATGGTGTGACAGTGTAAATTCTTACCTAGGACGTGCTGAAGCAACACACTCCTCAGATCCTCTTCAGACAGGAAGGCACACAGCTCTCCTACACAACCTGCTGAGGACATGCGTGTAGCATCCTACACACACACAAAGTTAGAACGACATGATTCTACATAAGGCTTTCATACACACTGGCTGACAAGGCCTAAAACCGCTTTCATAAAGCCACATCCTGCCTAGACTGACGGAAGTCTAGTCTGATCAGAGGTAAAATGAAACATTGCACTGTGAAAGATCCTGTCATTAAAACATGGATCTGAATGTGTCCTTATGCCAGGTTCAGTATTGCAGGTTTATGATATAATTAGCAAGCAAGATAAAACTGAAATTGTTTTATACTCAATTCTATCAATTACCATTGAGAGACGGGGGGGGGGGAAGATCAGTAGTCTACCTTAAAAACATCTCCGTTGCATTAATAAATGCTCTAGTCAGTGTATCTGCTCATAGACATACCTCATCATGTCCCAGCATACTCAGCAATGTGGTGGTGATGTTCTTCCTAATGGCTGGGTCGACCTTTGACCCTGCTCCCTGGATGACGAATCGTAAGGCTTGTAGCATGGTCTCCCTGAAAAAAGGGAGCAAAACACTAGGCTGATTGATTGAATCTAATCAATCCCCCACAAAATCCTAAATGAGAGGAATCCTATATGGAACTGATCACTACTCTTCACATTGTGTTTCTCAGTTTCCCAGAATTCCCTGGTTTTGCATACCGGACTCCTGAGTCCTCAGCATTGTGGATGGCAGAGAGCTGCTCTGTAAACAGGGGGTCCACCTTGCTGTGAATGGAGACCAGCTGGCCCAGGGCCTCAGCAGCCTTCAGCCTGACCGCCCGGCTGGAGTCCTGCAGAGCCTTCAGGAAGGTGGTCTGGAGCTGGGGCAGGAAGGGCTTTAGGGCTATGCCCACCTGGAGACAGGGACAGAGCAACAGGGTCAGGACCAGAGCAAGACACCAACCATTCTTCCAGCAGGGAGGAAACAACAGGATTGTGTTTAGTAGGCACAAAAGGGGAAAACGTTAAGCAAACATTTTTCTTTTTGGACTATTTCATGTATTAACCACATTTCAAAATGTTTTTCCCCTCTCCCATTTTGTGCTTACCGAACACAACCTTTAACATCAGATAGAATCATCAGCAGACACTGACCTTGGCCAGCAGCAGGGTGAGTGTCTCTAGTAGAGCGGTCTTCACGTTCCAGGCAAAGCGGTCTCCCAGGATACGGATGAGTGGTCCAGTGATGTTGACCACAGACGGTCGGAGAGCCTCAGGGGAGGTCAGCTTGATGACTCCTCCCAGCGCTTTGGCAGCCTCCTCTTTCTGCTCAGGACTGCCTGTCAACACTCCTTCCCTCAACACTGGTAGGATGCAGGTCACACCCTGGAGAAGAGGGAAAGAGGAGAAGAAGAGGGAAAGGGAGAAAGAGGAGGAGGGAGGGAGAGAGAAGAGGGAAAGAGGAGGAGAGAGGGAGAGAAGAGGGAAAGAGGAGGAGAGGGGGAGAGCAGAAGGATACATAAAAATTAGTCAGCTTGAGGTGGAGTAACTTGATGTGACTGTACGTGTCAAGAGGAGAGAGAGAGGCCTACCTTTTTGGGAAGACAGAACCCAGGCAGGTGCTGACCCTTGACATCTGCTGCCACTGACCGGATGTCTCTGTGCAGGTCGTCAATCAGAGCCAGCTGGCTGCCAGCGTCCAGTTTCTACAAAAACAAACAAGAGTTTAACATTACCTCACATATTGATACATACTATGTCAGTTAACCAGAGTACCTAGTGGCCTTTGGTTATCTATGAAATCAATGCTGCATAATGCTCCACAACACATTCATAAATACTGTATGACTTCAGTAAACCCGGACAAACTCATTCCCAGTTCCTGTAATGCTCTTGGTGCCAACTTCTAACCTTGGTGATGGAGTTGATGGCGTCCCAGCTCTGCACCAGGACCTCAGGGTTGGAGTCGTTGAGCAGGCGGATGAGGCCTGACAGCAGGTTGCGTGTGTGGGCGCTGTAATCCAGGCGGGTACGGGAGAAGTATCCGTTGAGGATGGTGGCGGCGGCCTGTCTGAGACCGGCATCAGGTGACCTGGTGGCCTCCAGCAAGTCATCGATGATGATACGCTGACCCACCTCATCTTCCACAGACAGGATCACTGCTTGGCAGCTAGCCAGCTCCTAGAGGAGGGGAGGGGCAGGGGTAATATAAACCTGGGGACGTACCTATCATCTAGTGCCCACAACCGCCCACTAAGAACCACTATAATATTATCCCATGACGATGACTGTTAAGACCACCACCATAGTGCCCCTGCACTTGGAACTGCTTTACAACCATAATCTTGTAATCATGAATGCTGTTGTTACCTGCTGTCCCTCCTCTGTTCCCAGTTTGTCTTTGAGAGAGGAGTAGAGGGCGGGCAGGATCACCCCCAGGTGGCGTGTCAGAGCATCTCCAGCCACAGCAGATAGGAAGGCCAGCACGCGAGTGTTCACTGGAGGAGCAGTCAGCTGACAGAGGAGAGGATAGCATTCATACACAGAACTACACTCATACTATAAAATACTTCAGGAAAAGTGTTATATAAATACAATACAATTATTGATATTAACCATTGTTAGTAGTGTATAATGTTTGGACTTCTCACCTTGGGCACCAGGTAGGGCAGCACAGAGCGACTCTTCACTGCCATCACCTGTTTCAGACCGTCCAGAGCAAACTCTGCAGTCTCCTCATCATCCTACACACAGAGAAACATTAACCTCACTCTATATTCTGTTCCATGGTGGGTCCCCTCTGTCCTCTCCAGAGGGACAGGGGATTGAGTATTACTGAACACGATGTGTGGATACAGAGGGATGTTAGAGGTAAAGTGGGTTAATGTGTGTGTGTGTCTCACCAGCTGTTTGAGCAGGGCAGGCAGGATGTCGTCCAGGGCCTGGTGACCGATGGTGGCGTGGAGCTGCTCAAAGGTTTTGGCTGCAGCCTCTCGTACCTCCTCCAGGGGGTCACACAGAGCCTTCCTCACCGTGGGGACCAGAGACTCAGAGAATATCAGCACCTGGAAACATACACACGTTGTTACCTTGCTTCTCTACCATGGGATTACGTCACAACACAACCCTGCTATGTATAAGACATTTAAAGGTTTCCTCGAAAACGGTATACTCATCTCAAGGGACTTCTAGGTTAAATAATGGATGAATAAAAATAAAAAGTGACCAGGTATGTGCTAAGGTACTGACCGCGTCCCTACTGGTGGACTTCATGATCTCACTCAGGCCGATGCACACGCCCTGCCTCTCATCACTCTTATCTGAGCGCAGACCCTCCTCCAGGATAGGTATGATCTCTGGGAGGATCTTCTCTCCTAGCTTACGCACCAGGTCTCCAAGTGTCCTTGCAGCAATCTAGAACCACACAGAGAAGCCACATTCAGTAACCCAGGGATCAGAAGCAGGAGAGAACACAGAATCCAAACACTCAAATTCAGACAAAAGTGTATAATACTAATAACAGAATACTGAATTGTCTTACAGTGTGTGACTAATGTACAGGACAAAAGAGAGTTATCAAAATCAAATCAAATTGTATTTGTCACATGCTTCATAAACAACAGTGAAATGCTAACTTACGGGCCCTTCCCAACCATGCAGAGAGAAAGAAAATAAAGAAATAATAGAAAGGTGAATAAATACACAATGAGTAATGGTAACTTGTCTATATACACGGGGTACCAGTACCAAGTCAATGTGCAGCGGTACAAGGTACAGTGGCTTGCGAAAGTATTCACCCCCCTTGGCATTTTTGCTATTTTGTTGCCTTAGAACCTGGAATTAAAATGGAGTTTTGGGGGGGTTGTATCATTTGATTTAAACATGCCTACCATGCCTACCCCAAAGTCAATACTTTGTAGAGCCACCTTTTGCAGCAATTACAGCTACAAGTCTCTTGGGGTATGTCTCTATAAGCTTGGCACATCTAGCCACTGGGATTTTTGCCCATTCTTCAAGGCAAAACTGCTCCAGCTCCTTCAAGTTGGATGGGTTCCGCTGGTGTACAGCAATCTTTAAGTCATACCACAGATTTTCAAATGGATTGAGGTCTGGGCTTTGACTAGGACATTCCAAGACATTTCAATGTTTCCCCTTAAACCACTCATGTGTTGCTTTAGCAGTATGCTTAGGGTCATTGTCCAGGTGGAAAGTGAACCTCCGTCCCAGTCTCAAATCTCTGGAAGACTGAAACAGGTTTCCCTCAAGAATTTCCCTGTATTTAGCGCCATCCATCATTCCTTCATTTCTGACCAGTTGCCCAGTCCCTGACGATGAAAAACATCCCCACAGCATGATGCTGCCACCACCATGCTTCACTGTGGGGATGGTGTTCTCAGGGTGATGAGAGGTGTTGGGTTTGCGCCAGACATTGCATTTCCCTTGATGGCCAAAAAGCTCAATTTTAGTCTCATCTGACCAGAGTACCTTCTTCCATGTGTTTGGGGAGTCTCCCACATGGCTTTTGGCGAACACCAAACGTGTTTGCTTATTTTTTCTTTAAGCAATGGCTTTTTTCTGGTCACTCTTCCGTAAAGTGGTCCTATGGACAGATACTCCAATCTCTGCTGTGGAGCTTTGCAGCTCCTTCAGGGTTATCTTTGGTCTCTTTGTTGCCTCTCTGATTAATGCCCTCCTTGCCTGGTCCGTGAATTTTGGTGGGCGGCCCTCTCTTGGCAGGTTTGTTGTGGTGCCATATTCTTTCAATTTTTTTAATAATGGATTTAATGGTGCTTTTTTATGACCCAACCCTGATCTGTAATTCTCCACAACTTTGTCCCTGACCTGTTTGGAGAGCTCGTTGGTCTTCATGGTGCCGCTTGCTTGGTGGTGCCCCTTGCTTAGTGGTGTTGCAGACACTGGGGCCTTTCAGAACAGGTGTATATATACTGAGATCATGTGACAGATCATGTGACACTTAAATAAAGTCCACCTGTGTGCAATCTAACTAATTATGTGACTTCTGAAGGTAATTGGTTGCACCAGATCTTATTTAGGGGCTTCATAGCAAAGGGGGTGAATACATATGCACGCACCACTTTTCCGTTACTTATCTTTTAGAATTTGTTGAAGCAAGTTATTTTTTTCATTTCACTTCTCCAATTTGGCCTATTTTGTGTATGTCCATTACATGGAATCCAAATATAAATCCATTTAAATTACAGGTTGTAATGCAACAAAATAGGAAAAACACCAAGGGGGATGAATACTTTTGCAAGGCACTGTAATTGAGGTAGATATCTACATATAACTAGGAATAAAGTGACAGATAATAACCAGTAGCAGCAATGTATGTTATGAGTCCACAAAGTTAGTGCAAAAAGGGTCAATGGGTTAAATATTTAGCAATCTTATGGCTTGGGGGTAGAAGCTGTTCAGGGTCCTGTTGGACTTGGTGCATCAGTACCACTTGCCGTGCGGTAGCAGGGAGCACAGTCTATGACTTGGGTGGCTGGAGTCTTTGACAAGTTTTAGGGCCTTCCTCTGACAACGCCTGGTATAGAGGTCCTGGATAACAGGGAGCTCCGCCCCAGTGATGCACTGGGCCGAACGCACTACCCTCTGTAGCGCCTTGCGGTCGGATGCCAAGCAGTTGCCATACCAAGCGGTGATGCAGCCAGTCAATCTGCTCTCAATGGTGCAGCTGTATAATTTTTTGAAGATTTGAGGGCCCATGCCAAATCTTTTCACCATCCTGAGGGGGAAGAGGCATTGTCATGCCCTTTTCACAACTGTGTTATTGTATGCGAACTATGATAGATCCTTAGTGATGTGGACATAGAGGAATTTGAAGCTCTCGAACCGCTCCACTACAGCCCTGTCGATCTGAATGGTGGCATGCTCGGCCCTTCCGTTTCCTGTAGTCCATGATCAGCTCCTTTGTCTTGCTGACGTTGAGGGAGAGGTTGTTGTCCTTGTACCACACTGCCAGGTCTCTGTTTCATCGTCATTGGTGATCAGGCCTACCGCCGTTGTGTCGTCGGCAAACTTAATGATTGTGTTGGAGTCGTGCGCGGCCACACAGCCGTGGGTGAACAGGGAGTACAGGAGGGGACTAAGCACGCACCCCTGAGGGGCCCCTGTATTTAGGGTCAGTGTGGCAGATGTGTTGTTGCCTACCCTCACCACCTGGGGGCGGCCCGTCAGGAAGTCCAGGATCCAGTTGCAGAGGGAGGTCCTTAGCTTAGTGATGAGCTTGGAGGGCACTATGGTGTTGAATGCTGAGCTGTAGTCCAAATTGGAGATTTTTGGTTCCAACCGCTGTGTCTTTGTGAGACGCAGTGTAGGTGAACGGATGATCTCTGCATGTGTAGTTCCCACCGTGAAGCATGGAGGTGGTGGTGTGATGGTGCTTTGCTGGTGACAGTGTCTGATTTATTTAGAATTCAAGGCACACTTAACCAGCATGGCTACCACAGCATTCTGCAGCGATACGCCATCCCATCTGGTTTGGGCTTAGTGGGACTATCATTTGTTTTTCAACAGGACAATGACCCAACACACCTCCAGGCTGTGTAAGGGCTATTTTACCAAGGAGGAGAGTGATGGAGTGCTGCATCAGATGACCTGGCCTCCACAATCCCCCGACCTCAACCCAATTGAGATAGTTTGGGATGAGTTGGACCGCAGAGTGAAGGAAAAGCAGCCAACAAGTGCTCAGCATATGTGGGAACTCCTTTAAGACTGTTGGAAAAGCATTCCAGGTGAAGCTGGTTGAGAGAATGCCAAGAGTGTAAAGCTGTCATCAAGGCAAAGGGTGGCTACTTTGAAGAATCTCAAATATAAAATATATTTTGATTTGTTTAACACTTTTTTGGTTACTACATGATTTCATGTGTTATTTCAAAGTTTGATGTCTTCACTATTATTCTACAATGTAGAAAATAGTTAAAATAAAGAAAAACCCTTGAATGAGTAGGTGTGTCCAAATTTGACAGGTACTGTAGATCTTTATTTTTTAATGGCACACGAGACACCTGTCTTATTCATACTTATCTCAGTGAACTAAACCATTGCGGCTGTGGGGATGGCACAGTCCAAGAAGAAGGGAGAGTGGCTGCACAATGCACGTCTCTCCAGAATGCGCTCTCTCCTGCCAATTTGTGCACATTCATTGTTTCTTAATTTAATTGTGTGAATTGTTTGCGTTTGATTGTTAGTGTCTATTAATTCCCCATTACATATAATCACCAGTAGTACATTTACCCTTAATTGCTGTAATTTCTAATCTACAATGTTTGTTTGGGTACGGTAATATCTGTTAATGCATTAAATATATTATTATTCCAGTCTTTTACCGTTCTCATTGTCGGAGTGGACACGTTGCTTGCAGAGTGCATAACCTATACTACACTTGTGAGAAACATGTTTTGGTTTATTTCATTCCATTTACGAGTTTTGTCAATTTAGTCATTGTCTTTTGTTTGGAGCGCTCCTGTCAATGTTGATTAAGGACGCGCACCTGATTACACATTGAAGTAGGCCTATACGTTTCCTGGCCTGCGCACAAATGTAGGCAAATACATTTGGGGATCTGATAGTATTACTGATTGGCTTAACGCACCACCACTAATGAGCTGTGGAGCATCTCAAAGTAATGTTTTCTTCATCTCAAACAGCAAGCAAACAAAGTCTGTTTTTACATCCATTGAGAATGACAATAGTTCCTCAAAGTATTTGGAATAATCTTTCCAGCTCTATACCTTTCGATAACCACTCAGCGTGAAAGGGAAAAATGTCATGCTCTGATCAAGTGAAAACGTCATGAAATAGGCCTACCTGATTACTTCTTATCCCTTGCGCAATAGCCTACAGCTGTGTCTGTCCCGAGCTCACTGGCACAATGTTTGCCAGTGCGAGTGAGCTTCAGGCCAGACCCAAGTTAATACAATGTTTCAAGTTCGTTGCAGACAGGCCATGCGCAGCCAATGTGATTTATAGGATATTTGTTTTTATCAGGAGAATTTTCTACCTGCAGGCTGCAATGTTTTTATTTGTTGGCTTTATAGGCTATATTTCCATAGTTGGCAATGGTAATAGAAGTTTAGGTTTGTTTCATTTTCATTTAGATTTGGATAGAATTTTGATTAACCACATGACAATGATTTTCAGATACGAAGACGAAATTAAACTGTTCCACGAAAATGTGCATAAGAAAACCATAACTGGCACGTAGATCGGTAGAAATTGTAAGATAAATTGGCATTCCACATGAGAAAGTTTGCCGACTCCTCATGTAGCCTATTACCAGCAACTTCAACAGAGTAACAGCAGACTCTGCGAAAGCCAGTAGGAGCGGGAGGAGGATGGTCAGGACAGGTTACGTTTTTAAAATTCTGGTTATCTTGATCTCTGGCTCCCCCTTGAGTCATTTGTGTCTTATTTCAAACAGTGTGGATGTTGTTGCCTGTAATTCATGGCTTCTGTTTGGGATATGTACGTACGGTCTCTGTAGGGATGACGTCGTCAATGCACTTATTAATGAAGCCGACAACTGATGTGGTAAACACCTTCAATACCATTGGATGAATCCCAGAACATATTCCAGTCTGTGCTAGCAAAACAGTACTGTAGCTTAGTATCCGCTTCATCGGACCACTTACATATTGAGCGGGTCACTGGTACTTCCAGCGCAAAAAACATACAAAATAGCTGAATTGGTCAGAAGCCCGTAAAACTGCTGCTATCCATTGCAGTGTCATTCTCTCTCATTCAATAGTTGTGAGCAATACGGAAACAGCTCCATACAGTGCATTCGGAAAGTATTCAGACTCCTTGACTTTTTCCATGTTTTGTTACAGCATCATTCTAAAATGGATCAAGTTGTTTTTTCCCCCCTCAATCGACACACAACACCCCATAATGACAAAGCAAAAACAGGTTTTTAGACATTTTTGCAAATGTACAATTTTTTTGGGGGAAATATCAAATTTACATAAGTATTCAGACCCTTTACTCAGTACTTTGTTGAAGCACCTTTGGCAGCGATTACAGCCTCGAGTCTTCTTGGGTATGACGCTACAAGCTTGGCACACCTGTATTTGGGGAGTTTCTTCCATTATTCTCTGCAGATCCTCTCAAGCTCTGTCAAGTTGGATGGGGAGCGTCGCTGCACAGCCATTTTCAGGTCTCTCCAGAGATGTTCGATCAGGTTCAAGTCCGGGCTCTGGCTGGGCCACTAAAGGACATTCAGAGACTTGTACCGAAGCCACTGCTGCATTGTCTTGGCTGTGTGCTTAGGGTTGTTGTCCTGATGGAAGGTGAACCTTAACCCCAATCTGAGGTCCTGAGCGCTCTGGAGCAGGTTTTCATCAAGGATCTCTGTACTTTGCTCTGTTAATCTTTCCCTCGATCCTGACTAGTCCCCCAGTCCCTGCCGCTGAAAAACATTCCCACAGCATGATGCTGCCACCACCATGCTTCACCGTAGGGATGGTGCCAGGTTTCCTCCAGACGTGACGCTTGGCATTCAGGCCAAAGAGTTCAATCTTGGTTTCATCAGACCAGAGAATCTTGTTTCTCATGGTCTGAGAGTCTTTAGGTGCCTTTTGGCAAACTCCAAGCGGGCTGTCATGTGCCTTTTAATGAGGAGTGGCTTCAGTCTCGCCACTATACCATAAAGGCCTGATTGGTGGAGTGCTGCAGAGATAGTTGTCCTTCTGGAAGTTTCTTCCATCTCCACAGAGGAACTCTTTCAGAGTGACCATCGGGTTATTGGTCACCTCCCTGACCAAGGCCCTTCTCCCCCGATTGCTCAGTTTGGCCAGGCGGCCAGCTCTAGGAACGGTATTGGTGGTTCTAAACTTCTTCCATTTAAGAATGATGGAGGCCACAGTGTTCTTGGGGACCTTCAATGCTGCATAAATGTTTTGGTACACTTCCCCAGATCTGTGCCTCGACACAACCCTGTTTCAGAGCTCTACGGACAATTCCTTTGACCGCATGTCTTGGTTTTTGCTCTGACATGCACTGTCAACTGTGGGACCTTATATAGACATGTGTGTGCCTTTCCAATTCATGTCCAATCAATTGAATTTACCACAGGCGCACTCCAATCAAGTTGTAGAAAAAACTCAAGAATGATCAATGGAAACAGGATGCACCTGAGCTCAATTTCGAGTCTCATAGCAAAGGGTCTGAATACTTATGTAAATAAAGTTTCTGTTTTTAATTTTTAATACATTTGCAAACATTTCTAAAAACCTGTTTTCGCTTTGTCATTATGGGGTAGTGTGTAGATTGATGAGGATTTGTATTTAATATAATTCATTTTAGAATAAGGCTGTAACATAACAAATGTGGAAAAAGGGAAGGGGTCTGAATACTTTCCGAATGCACTGTACATACTAGACTTAGGGAGCAGTAGAGTTACCGTTCTCTTGTCGGAGCAGTCGGAGGCCAGGAAGCCCAGCAGCAGAGAGAAGAGGGTGGGCAGGATCTCTCGGAGGGTGCGGGGCGTGTTGGACACCACAATCTTCCACACGTGTAGGGAAGCCTGTCGCACCACCAGCTGGGTGTCTGAACGACCCATGTAGAGGCCAGACAGGACCCGGTTACGCCGCTCTCCACCCAGTGCTCCGATGATAGCCTGGGGGAGGAGGAAGAGGGCTCAGTACCGACACTACATTCAATATTATTTACTTCTCATATCAACCATTATATAACCAACAATCTATACAGGAAAATCATGTCAGTATACCTTGTTGGACTGCGCTGTGCCAAAGTTGTCGTCCTCTGAAGCGGTCTCGGTGGTCATCTTGCCTGTGACTCCAGAAATGTGGAACAGTAGGTCTCCGAGCAGCTGCACAGAGCTGAACCTGTGGTCCAGAGACAACATGGAGGCTCAGTTAAGACTACCATTTCCAAGAAAAGCATTTGGTATACTATATAATGTTGCATATAATATCTAGAGTGGGTCAAATATGTTAATTCTGTAGATAATCCTCAAAGAAAACCAATGGTCCAAACCTTACGTCTCGATCATAATCCATTCAAAACGTATTTGAGTTTACCCTTGTAGGATGGTCAAAATTAGGGAGACTAAATCAATGGAAGCCAGAGATGTTTTGTGGTCCACAATCGGAAAAATAGCATTGCGTCAGCTAGGCTGGATGCTGTGCAAGAATTAAGGCCACCTGACAGGCTTACCATTGAACTCGCCATCTTTCTTTACAAATACGGAGGACATAAAACAACAGATGTAAGATATATATCGATTTGAGTGGTAGTATTTTCATATTTAAGTATACGCTGTTCATATTAATGCAAAGTTCCTGTTCTTTTTCAAGACTTCTCACAAAAACAAGCGCATCTCTGAAAATGTCAATGGAGCACTGAGCATACCGCAAGATTTTTACATTTAATTCAGCTGGTGTCATGCTAATTTTGCCATTTGTTTATCTGTGAATTAACCAATGTTATCAGGCCACACCCGGCCACGATTACAAACACCTGTGTGTGTCCTTTGACACTATATAAACTAGTGACCCTGCAGTGTTTGTTATTATAACCTGATGAGGACAGCTTGTCTGTGGAAACGTTGGTTAATAGGTTATTAAATGATTGCATCTGAGCTCCCAGAGTGTGCAGCTCTCCTTTTCTTTATCAAATTTTGCCATTTGCACCTGCAGAAACAACTTGGAAGAAGACGACGACCACAAAATGTAAAATCCTAAAACGTTTAGTCGAGAAAGCTCCACCACTGTCAACAGAGCTCGGTGCTTATTATCAGATGTATTAGGTTACGAAATCCGACTTTTTGGATATAATGTTAATGATATGTTAGAGAAAGACTCCATGGGAATGATTCAGAACATGAAGAATCAGATTTGTCTTGGTAAAATGCATTTTATAAACACAAAGAAGTGAAATGTCATCACCAAAGCGCGTTCTGAGCAGAGTGGGTGGACACCCTATAATATCACATAAATGATGTTTGTGAGTAGATGTCTGACCTAATCCTCCAGAGGTCGTCAAACAGGCCCTGTTCCAGTTCAGGCAGCAGCAGTGCGATGGCAGTCTCAGCGTACATGCTGATGATGCGCTGGCCAGCACGCAGGGCAGTGTCTCTCACATATTCATTCTCATCAGCAAGAGCCTGAAAAAAGAGGAGAGGGAGACTGGTGAAAGGTATTCACAACCAGAGAGAGGGATTGGAGGGACGGTGGTGAATGGAGAATGCTCCATACCTTGAGGATGCAGGGGATGATGGGGCCAATGTAGGGGGTGAACCTGTCCCCGAAGGTGAGGGGCAAGTAGATGAACATCATTATGTAACCGTCGCGGACATGGGAAGCAATGTCCACCTTGCTGGCCGTCTGCACCACGTCTGGCATCAGCTTGTCCAGCTTCTCCACTCCCAGCCCAGCCATCACCTCAGCCAAACCTTGGGCAGCTCCAGAGCGGTCCACAGAGCTCTGCTCAGACGCTAGGGTCTCCATGAGCCAGGGCATCAGGTCATCAAAGCACGACTCACCCATGCCCTTCACCATGGCACCCAGGGCCTTGGCTGACACGGTACGCACCTGGTAGAGGAGAGGAGAAGGAGCGAGAGTTATTATCAGGTAACCAAATCACATGTTTGTTGTTGAGTTGTTTGGTACAAGCACATACCTCAGGCACAGGGTCTAGCAGAGAGGCTTTGAGTCCAGGAATGACACTGGGCAGGTATGGGGACAGGTCCTGCAACACAAAGACACAAACACATCGTGTCAACCATTAGAAACACATACATTATAAACAGTAGAGCATTTTGAGAAGATCAATTGTAGTACAACGCAACTCAATATCCCAGTGCTGCTATGTACCTTCTGGTCAGTGAGGGAATACATGTTGCCGATGATCTGAGCAGCCATCTTGCGAGTGTCGGTGGAGCGGTCCTGGAAGGCCCTCTGGACGATTGGCATGATAAGGGCCAGGGAGGGGGCATCGATGAAGTGGACAAACTTGGTGTCCAGCAGAGTCTGCAGGCAGTTATGCGTCTTACGGGAAGGGTCAGTGAGGGCGTCCAGTAGGATGGGGGTTATGGCTGAGAGGTATAGAAAAACTGTTAGTAACTACCCTAAAGTACAAATCTGAAATAAAATCATTTTCATACCGCTTTGAACGGAAGTTTCTCATTTATCTAACTAAATATCAGAGTTTAACACAGCACTCTTACCCAGGATCTCAGGATTGCGGATGACAGAACCGATCTGTCGTAGGGCCTGCTGGCCAGCATTTTGCACTTTGACATGGGAGTCAGTCAGCACCTCGGTCAGCTTGGGCACAATGCTGGGCAGGCAGGAGGACAGCTGCTTGGGGGCACAGTACGCCATGGCACCCAGGAGCTCCACGGAACCTGGAGGGAGGGGAGGAGGGATAAAGAAGGAGCAGCAGAGGCAGTAGTGGGGGAAGAGGAAGGAAGAACAAGATAAGAGTTAAGGTGGGTTAGTATCATGAGTAACCAGCTGAAATAAGTCTAACAGGTGATTGATTTTGAATGGTTATGTCCTCAGAGCTCTCTAAAAAGGGCCATGATGCTGTGGGTTCACCCTCACCTGCTTTGGTCCTCCAGGATTCCTCCTCCAGAGCCACCAGCAGGGAGGGCAGCACTAGCTTCACCCCATGGGCACTCAGGTTCCTCATCACCGCCTTGGCACAGTCATCTGCCGCCTGGGAAAGGGCAGGGAGGTTAGGCAAAGTGTAATGCACAACAAAATGTGAGTGAATGTGAGAATTATTAGGTGCAAAATGAGTGCTGTGTGAGAAAGGAGGAAAGAGAGAGGGAGGTGGGATTGAAATGAGAAGCTGGTAATGTAACTCTACCTCTCTGACGTACTGGTTCCCATCCCCGAAGCAGAGCAGGAGGTGAGGAAGCACGTGGACCACATAGGGCTCAAACAGCTTCCCCAACATGTTGCACAGCATCTCAAAGGCAAACAGGGCACCTGGAAAAGAGAGAGAGAGAGAGAGATAACTGTTAAAAATCACAGCCACAGATAGCAGGAGAACAAACTAAACCATGGAGCCCAGCAAGGTTAAGCAACTGGCGAGAAGTCACTGACCCTCTCTGCGTCGGAAGTTCTTCTTGTCCTGGATGGCGTCGCTCAGGGTGCTCATGATGTCCTGCTGTTTGAGGGCCAGGATGCCCAGGCCTTTGACCAGGCCTGCCAGGCCGTAGGCCGCGCCCTTCCTCTCAGCGTACTTGTCACTCTCCAGCAGCAGCTGCAGCAGCTTACGCACCATCCCCCCAGCATCCTCCCTGATGGCAGGGACCAGGGGGGGCAGGCAGCTAGCTACAGACTCCTGGACCTGAGAGAGGTTGGGAGGAAAGAGACAGACAAGGCAACAGTTACTACAAGCAGGCTTAGTGATGCTCAGCTGAGGCCAATGTAAAGGCATTTCATTGTAAAGGTCAATGCATATAGGTTATAGAAATCAAGATGAAACATATAAAGAATAATGGGAGGGATTGTTCCAGAGAAAAGTGTGTGGTCATACGCACATCCTTAAAAAACTGGACTAATAAAGGATACCTGAAAAGAAAAGATAGGCCCTCATATTGAATATGCTCCCAATTACCACCTTTATTGACAAGGTTTCAATCCAGCAAGGACCTTCGTCAGACAAATAATTGGGAGCATATTCAGTGTGCAGGCCTTTCTGTCCTTTTCAAGGGATTGTTCCAGTACCTGCTGTGACGGTGTGGAGAGTGCAGTGATAAGCTTGGCCACAATGGGTTTGACCTTGGGGTCACTCTTGTCCAGATGTTTGGCCAGAGAGCCCATTAGGATGACCACACTCTGGCGGACTGAGTCGTAGCTGGCGTCCTGGGGGGCGTTCTTCAGAAACTCCTCGAACACCGGGAGCAGGGAACTCACATTGTCCTGGAACACAACAAGCAACACACTGCTCAGAAAGAAGCCACAAAAATGGACATACTGTATTGCGTTAGTAGGATTCCGTTGAGAGAAGAGCAATTGCATTGGGTGCCAGGAGATGGGTGTGGTTGTATAGAATAAATAAAAGAAACCGTGTTGGTACCTTTCCGTGTGTGTTGAGGGCGGAGAGGGCAGCATCCAGCATGCAGCGCCGCACCTCAGGGTGACGGTCATTCAGGGCGTCAGGAACAAAGAACAGGAAGAGAGGGGTGACCTGGGGCTCATCCAGGTACTGACACAGCTTGTTCAGAGCCAGGGCGATTCCACACCTGCAGACACCAACACACCCTTAGACACCATGCACAAGGTGGTCCCACTTAGTAAAAGCAAATGAGGATCTAGAGCAGGGCTGTCCAACCCTCTTCCTGGAGATCTACGGTCCTGTGGGTTTTCAGTCCAACCCTCATTTAACAAACCTGATTCTACTTATTAGCTGCTCAACAAGACCTTAACTAGCTGAATCAGATATGCTAAATTAGGGTTGGACTGAAGACCTACAGGACAGTAGATCTCCAGGAAGAGGGTTGGGCAGCCCTGATCTAGAGAGTGGAATAAGAGTTGTATTGACACTGTTGAATGGCAGAGCGTTTTCTAACCTGGCTTCCCACTGGTCAGGTGGTTGTTCAGAGATCACTCGTCCTAAAGCATCCAGGACAGGAGGGGGTCTCTGTAAAAACACAACAGTTTCACATTGACCATGGTTCTAGCCTACAATTCTACACCACTCCTGATACCCAGTGACTAGGGCCTATTTCGGAGCTGTGATAGGAGGGACACGGGGGAGGGAGACTCACGTAGAGTTTCTGGTGGTAGAGCTCATTGAGCTGGCCCAGGACTATGGGGGACTGGTCGCGGTACTCGCTGATAGCTCTGGACAGAGCCTCGGCCCCGGCAGTACGCACAGCCTCCTCATGGTGGGTCACATCCCCGATGAGCAGAGAGCACAGCTCAGGGACCAGCTCCAGACACAGAGCCTGCCACAGCCTGGGGGAGAGAAGGGGACCAGGGGGGTATGGTCAGTCACAGCAGCTACGCTACATGAGACAGGAGACGCGCTACTTCACAAAAGCTGTCATTCTGAAGAGGGGAGCTACATCCTATATTCAAAGTATTACATAGAGGGGACAACATTAGCTACTTACTTCTCAGCCAGAGTCCTTCCCTCCTCCTCCACATCAAACCTGGACACCCACAGCCTGCGGAGAACACTCAGACCACTGGCATCTGTACTTTCTGTAGGCAGAGCCATCTCCATCTCCAACAGGCCCTGGACAGAGAGAGAGAGAGGTGGGACATTAGCACACATCCAAAGACACACACACAGTAATTACACACAGTACACACACACTAATCAAATCAAATTGCATTTGTCATGTGCCGAATACAGCAAGTGTAGACTTCATCGTGAAATGCTTACTTACGAGCCCTTTCCCAACAATGCAGTTAAAAAGAAAGTAAACAAATACATAAAAAAGAAAATAGTAAAACAATAAAATAACAATAATGAGGCTATATACAAAGAGTACCAGTACAGAGTCAGTGTACTGGGGTACGAGGTAGTTGGGGTGATTGAGGTAATATGTACATGTAGGTTTGGTTAGGTGATTGATTGAAGTACTATGTACATGTAGGTAGGGGGTGAAAAGCAGAAAGTCTGGGTAGCCGTTTAACTGTTCAGCAGTTATGGCTTTGGGGTAGAAGCAGTTTCCTATTTCCTCACCCTGAGGGCAGCGTCTCTGACAGAGAAGCAGGGGGAGAGTAGAGCCTCCAGTAGGACATCTATCTCATTCTGCTCAGCCAGAGCACAGCCCTGCTCTCCTCCTCCACTGGCACACACCGCCGTCAAACACTGGGACGCCAGCACCTGAAACATACACAAACACACTGTATAAACATATGTGATAGCTCTACTGGTTAGCATTTGTCTGTAAATGTGGTAGAAGCATTGCCTGGCTACACAGACTCCTTGCGGACGTTAATTCTTCTCCGCAATGAGTCTGGATCCGTGTACCTCCCCGACCCTTCACCGAATGCGAACACATTCGGGGCCGTCTGATTGGTCCAGAAACGGATGGGTTGAGCCAGAGCCAAAACACACATGGGTGAAGCGGCGGTTTGAAAATTCGTCATTGGCTTTGATTCTCTGATTGGTTAGAGACAATCCAATCACTGATGACTTTTGTACAACGCCCCTCGTGCCTCTCTTCACCACAAACGACTTCTATGACGGCAGTCTCAGACTAAAGTATGTAGCGGCGAATGACAGAGCAGCGGAATAATTTTGTGTGAGTCGTCAGGCTAGTAGAAGCATGGTGTTTGAGTGTGTACCTGCAGCCTGGGTGCTGCAGTGGAGATGACTCTGGTCAGCAGCAGCAGCATACCGAAACGAGGTAGCAGCTCAGGTCCATTCTGAGAGGCAAAACAGAGAGACAAGTCATACAAACATAAGCCCTTTGTCTATGATAGAGTGGAGTTTAGGAAGAGAGGACAAGTATATACATTGATATGAGACCACCTCAGACAAAGTGAGGTGACAACGCACTGCTAGGCGATAAACTTGATCCAACTCTTACCTCGTCGATGAGTATGTCTGTGGTGTCAACCTCGGCGCGGAGTTGAGCGTGCACATTGATGACCTGCAGGGCGCGGACCTGCATGCTCTCCGTCTCCTCGGTGCTGCCCGAGGAGTCCCTGAGCACGGTGTTGAGCAGGGGGAAACAGAAGGAGAAGGCTGGGGCAGACAGCGGAGCCATGTCTGAAACAGGATGAGAGCATTAGGCCACCTGCAGGTAATATACTCGCACTATGTTGATGTCATTGATGTGTGTTGTTTGTCAGTATTGTCTCCCCCGTCTTGCCCTCTCTCTCTGTGTGTCCTCACCACCAGCCTTGCCCTCTCTGTGTGGGACAGTGTGCATGTGCAGCAGCCCGACAGAGCGCTGGGTGGCTGTGTCTAGATCCTCCTCTCCCCAGGCCTCGTCCAGATCACACTCAGGTTTCATCAGGCGCAGTGTCACCTGGCCCACCAGCACAGCTGTAGGAGAAGACCATGAGTAGAACATGCAGGAGGTTAGAGAACATTTCATCACAGAAAGTATTTCCCTCCACTTTATCTTTGTTCACTCCCATTTACAGATCAGACAACTAGACAGGTATAAGCAATAACTCCAGTTTTCATGTAGGCTAGTTGGAGTTTCCATTATATTGTTTTCTCCTATCCAGTCCTGTCAGATCTTTGAAGGTGTGTGAACAAGGACAGAGGAGGGAAGTGAGAGAAAGCTCTCCCTTGTGTAGTAGTCCATGTACCCAGGTAGTGCAGCTCCTTGGGAATGAGGCAGGCTCCTATGTCGAGGAAGACCTGCTGCAGGCGTGGGGCAGCCAAGGGGGAGTGGAGGAGAGGCAGTAGGACCTGGAGGACCCCTGGGAGCTGCCAGGAGATCTGGGGAGGCTTCTGGATCAACATTGCCTCCAGCAGACCCACCGCACACTGTAGCTCCATGTCCAACTGACAACGACAATCAAACAACAGGAATATTATTATGTCAATGTCTAGAATCTAAAGTTTGAGAAACGGGATACGTGTTAAAATGTCTGGCCGTACCCCCTGTAGTCTCTTGCGAATGGAGGACTCTTTCTCCAGCTGGGCTTGCATCATCTCCTTCTGTTTGCTGGTCAGCTGTAACCCATCTTTGATTCCTTTCTTCTTCTTGATCTCCTAAAACACATCAAAATCCCAGTTCAATTCATAACTAATTTATTCAATTAATAATGGTTCCATCGTAATTCAACATCTACATTTTCTGCTAACTTAACAGAGGAGGATCAAACAGTTCCAATATGCTCCTGTATCTATTAACCAATAAGATGAGGTAAGAGTGCAACAGTTAACAGGCCTCGCTACATCTAGTCCCCGGCAATCACAGTCCCCCAGTTTCACCTCCTGCAGCTCCAGTTCTATAATCTGTTCCTTATACGAGTAGGCCTTGTTCTCCCTCTTCATGTTGCCCTTCTTAGTGCTCTCCTGCTGGGCACTGCACAGGACAGGGGAGGTGGGAGGAAGAGAATGAAATGTTGAAACAAGCCTTACAAGCAACAACAAAGAAAATCAACATAGCCAAGGTGTTTGGATCAATGACAAGTGTTCTTGCTGTCTACAATGGTAAACCCACAGTAGTAATACAGTGTGTTAGTGTCCTACCTCTGGATGATGCTCTTGTCATACAGCTCTCCCTCAGGGGTGAGCATGATAGCGTACTCCTCTCTGGTGACCTGCCGCAGCGCAGGATTGGACAGCCACTGTGTCACATGCTCCATCACCCGCGGCAACACCTTGATGGGAGAGAGACCGGACAGGGCACCAACCGCATTCCTTACAGCCTGGTGAAACGAGGACCAACCATCAGTCAGCCAATCAGAGAACAGGACAAGTTGGACCATAGGCTTGTCTCAACCAATCACGAGAGCAAAAGTGGGCCTTAACCAACCCTTGGGTGTGAGTACGTATGTGTATTGTAATGTGTAGATCTAATATAAGGATGTCAATATGAGAAATATGTTCCGACCTGATTGTCAGTGTTGGTCTCCAGCAGCAGTGGCAGAATGTCATCCAGGTTCTTGTCTATGAACTCATCGGCCTTAATGTTCATGCTGGACAGCAGGTAAGGCCACAGCCCAGGTCGAGCTGCAACTGCATCGTCGGAGAGGAGGAAATAAGTCAGTACTAGTAGTGGGTTTATACAAACTGCAGTGTGAAAGATGCTATAGTGCGCAGCAACAAGTAATCCAACAGACCTATAGAGGGATGGTGGGTGACGATGAGGATCTCCATGGCCATCTTGTCTGCCTCGGCCGGGTCGTTCCACTGGCCAGCTACAGAGCACACCACACACAGTGCTTCCAGCAGGACGCGAGGGGGACTGTAGGCCTTACCGACTTCCGACAACTCCCCTGACTCCATCTGCAGTACCTCCTGAGGCAACACCTGGGGAAAGATAAAGATGCAGTATTTGTCAATAGCTAGGTTTGCATCCAATTGGCAAAGATTTTCATGTGAATATTCTAAAATCTGTATAAAAACAATATGTGCATTTTCCCACCAGAGATGTGTTCCCATCAAATTGACTTGAAACGTACACGGTTAAATTCCCATGTACCCAATAAAAAAATAAAAGTAAATGGGTTCCATCGAATTTTCAACTCTACTGATAGTTTTGTCACAGAACATGTTGTGTTATATAGTGAATGTGCCCACTCTGGTCTTGGCACGTGCGCAGACACAGTGTAGGGTGTGGCTACCTACATGATGAGATTCCTTTTTTATTTTTTTATTTGTCAAACGGCAGCCAAGCACCGATAATCATGTCACCAGAATAAGACCTTCGATATTCATTGGAAAGCAGCATCAAGTTGTGAAATTCATCATAACTAATTTAATCTGTAGCTTAATAAACTGCATGCTTTCCCGAGTCGTAGTGGGAGGACCACATCATCGCGTGACTCCAAGTTGACTTCGATATGATGGTTAATCTTTCAATATTTGCACAATAAGGCGTTTCCGCCTCCATTTCTCGCATAATTAATTTTACAGACACAAAAACATCCCACCCTGTTTCCACCAGGCCTGTCGTGACATTTTTTATCCAACATGTACTTTACTCGCATAAGTTGAATGGAAACCTGGTTTATGACAAAAACATAATGTAGAGAATACAAAGAAAGATCCATGTCTAACATCCCAATGTAATTATTCAGTCATTACAAGTTTATAGTCCCACTGAAGTGAGACCTGACACTACAAATCCATTAAAATTCTTAGTGCATCCCATAGCCAACTATTCTTACCTTGTGTTTGTTGATGACCACTCTGAGTTCTCCCAAAAGGCCGTAGGCTAGGCCGGAGCCACCCAGGGAGGAGAGCAGCTTCTTCACGATCTGCTGTGCCCGCTTCCGCACACGCCAACTACGAGACAGCAGCACCGCTGCAGTGGCACGGTGGTACATCCTAAGGAAAGGGGAGCAATGGAGTTACAGTTCAGAGGGGAATGGGAACAATGTTTGGAAAACAGCTATGCATGACCAGTGTCAAATCACTCACTGTGATTTGCCATTGGTGAGTCTGTGGGAGTGGTCCAGGAAAAGTCTCTCACACAGCTGTATCACTGTGCACAGGGCTGGGGTGAAAGAAGACAGGTTTACTACTCAATGTCATTCCATATCTTGACACTTGTGTGATGACTGATCTTGTGCATATTTGTGTATTGTGTAGTGTTTGTTTATGCCTCACCTTCCTCACTGGCCTGGGAGAGGAACTTCTCTGTGGTGAATAAGGGTTTCTTCTCATCCAGGATCAGGTTCCAGAAGCCAGCCAACTTCGCCTCTGCAGCAAAGACAAACACAACATTTTATGCCAGTCTCCAAACTGATGAACAAGGACGCTGTCCCCTACAGGCAACCTCATTCAACAGAGTCAAAGATCTAGGCCTTCATTAATCTCATGGGGTGTCATCATCCTAGATTCGCTCACCTGTCTGAGTCTCCAGCAGAGACAGTCGACTCAGGAGAACGGCAGCAGCCACACCTTCTGAGAGCAGGGCATACTGGGAGTTCTGGGCCGCAGCCTTCTCCACTGTCTGGAGGAGGAGGGGCATTAGGTCAGATGCCTGTCCCAGAGTGTCACCTGTGGATGAGAGGGGGGTCAGGACTGTGACACAGTGCCTCCTGCATTCTGTAGAACTGGATCAATGCCCACACAAATAACATAGTTGCCCAGTGCCTGTGACTAACTGACCTTTGAAAGCCCCTAGCATGGCCTGCAGGTATGCGTGGCGGACAGGAGAGGTGGAGGTCTTGAGAGTGAAGGCCTTCTTTAACCAGTCCAGCAGAGCCTTGGGAACCTCCACCGTGAGCCGCCCACTCCACTGAGACAGCACAGCAACCGCGTGCACCAGGGTCCCCTCATGGACTGACGGAGAGAAACAACATGAGCACCTCTCTCTTTATGGATAAAGGGAATGAGAAGGAGGAAGGAATGAGACATAGTTCTTACCTTCTTGTTGCAGATAAGGGATAAACAGCACAGCGACTGCAGAGCTGAGCGTTTGGCTGGAGGTGCCCGACACAGCATGATGGCTGCAGCTGCCGATACCTGGACAGAACAAGTCAAAACCAATCAAAACAGGGGTTAAAAGACAACAGCTATCTGTCTGCAAGACTACATACTATGTGTGGGTTATGAAAGACAGGACACTTGGGACCACGTTACCTGACAGCACACTCATCTTCTGGCCGAACGCTGTGAGCTTCCCCTCTGACCCTGAAAACACACAGTTCTGTTAGTGCAAAAATATACTTTACACTAGGTGCTGTGCCATATGTGCTCAAATGTTTCTTAGGTGACAATAAAGTGAGCTGTCCTTGCCTCCCAGGATGCTGAAGAGGTGTGTGACGACGTCCTGTACAGCGCTGGGGTCACTACACTGCTTGGCCAGGTTCTGCATGGCCTGCACTGCCTGATCCATCAGCTGGGGGTTATTGGCCTTCAGCTGGCCTGAAACACACAGCCTGGTTACACACACATCCTCAAAAAGCTCATTTCTACATATAAAGGCCTGACTTACTTGCGATGCCTTTTCCAATATCCATGGCATACTGACTGAGGTCAAGCGTCACTGAAGCCAGTAGACAGGAGACGGCTGAAGGAGAGGAAAATATATCTTGAAAGGACAAAACTACAAAACATAGTACGGAATATACACAAAAGTGTGTTGTGGTATTGGTTATGATATTGGCTACTGTACTCACTCTGCATGGCGTTCTCTGGGCTGCGGAGCATAGCCTTCTGCAGGGCAGGCAGCAGCAGCTCCTTGAACTCAGAGTGGGAAACATGCCGCAGCAACGAACCACTCTTGTCCTGCAGAGGAACACAAAACACATTACAGAGAATAATTCTCAGCACCAACACCCACAATATTTCACAATACACATAAATTGTGGCTATGGGTGGTCTTCAGGTTGTGAACTCCAATCGTTTGATCTCCCTGAGAAATGCAGTTTAAGGGGCAGTCCAGCTCCACTCACCAGTATGTGTTGGTGTGGTCTAGTCTTGCTCATGAGGACTGCCTTCATATACAGGTCCAATATGGCACTCTGAAAACAGAATACAGAATTGGTTAGAGATCTTAAATGTGACCATATGTGCTGACGAAATCAGTGAGATTTATTTTCTTTTTATATAGAAATATATTGAATTCAACTAATATCACACTCACCTTGTGTTTCTCTACAGTGGCCATGTCTTTGTGAGTTGTGCAGAAGTCCAGACACACCCCGAGCAGAGCCAGTGAGCTGGGGTTCTGTTCCAGACTCAAAATGGTGCTTATATACTGATCAGCCAGGCCAGGGTACTGATGAAAACAGCAGAGACAAGCATTCTAAATCACAGCAGATCCAATATAGTGATTATACACTGGACCATGATGACAGTGCCCAAATATTCCTTGTAACTGTCTGGTCATTCCTTGAATGCCAACCCACACCTTCCTTACCTTTTTCCACATGTGGCTCAGGTTCTTCAGGGTTGACTTCAGTGCTGTTGCTTGAGCCCCACCCACCACCTCAGCCAGCAGCAAACTCTGGACCTCCACCTGTCAGAGGAAAGATAGTGAATCATGGACGGTGAATAAATGCACAAAAGTCCAAACCCATGATAAAGAAATTAAAATATATACAGGTTAAAAGTAATGACTAAATGTTCCACCCTTAAATATAGTTGTGAAATGTTATTGTTTTAAGTATGATTAGTACTTTCTTAGTAGTGACTAATTATTATACTCCGAAACAGTGTGAGATGTGTTAGAATCTACTACCTGGTAATGTGTGAGTGTAGGACCAGTAAAGATTATGACATTGTGTTACTATTTAGCAATGTGAGTAAGAATTAGGCCAGACAACAAAGGACAAGGAGAACTGTCTACAGGCAACTGAGAAACCAAGATAACTGAGGAATTTAGGGAGGAGAGAAACTGTTAGGCTTGGAAGAGAGTGTGTGTGTGTGTGTGAACTGATGGTCAGGAGAGCAGTTTTAAAGTGGAAAACTACAGCCCGCCTAAAGAGGGGAGGGATTTTTGTATGACGTGTGAGTATAAAAGATGGACTCTGAAATTGTGATGGCAGAATTCTCAATGAATAAACATCTCTGACTATGCAGACCGGGACTCTGTCAGTTTCTTGATCCTTTTGGGAGACGCACAGAGACACTGAAATAGTTTGTTAAATAATTCACATAACAACCTAACATTTCCCACAAATGGTGTGGAACTAGAAAGCATACTGATAACTGACATGCTGAAATTGTTTCACAGTATAGAGAAAGGCAAGGCTTCTATAAGCAGTGTCCTCGTTCATTTACCAGTTTCTTCCAGATGGGGCCCTCTCTTTTCTCTGGAGCCGAGAACACAGAGCGAACCAGCAGGCAGGTCCAGGCCAGCCCGGTGAAGGCTGCCGAGCCTGTGCTCTTACTGACAACACCACAACATACAACAGATGGACAGGGAACAAAAACAAGGTATTCAATATGTGGTCGAATTAGTACAACGTTGCACTGTAAATGTGTAAACAAATTTATACAAAGCATTTAGCCTTAACCCTCTACCTTTCCCCATGTCCTACCTGGGCGTGCCATTCTTGCTGATGACACCACTGTTGAGGAGGCAGTGGAGGAGGCTGGTTGCTAGGATTTCAGGTTGAGACTCAGCCAATAGGCCAATGACAGAGAGGAGAGCTCGTCGAGATGCAGCATCCCTACAGAGTAGCCAACATGTTTTCATTTTAACACAACACACACTACCAACAAATCACTAACAGGGGAATCCTGAAGAGCAGTAGGCTAATTGAGGGCACCTACCTGTATCTGTGTGGCGTGAGACAGAAGAGCTTGCATAGCCCTTTAATGGCTGTTTCTGGTAGCTCTGTATGGAGACACATACACATTGTCAATCACCCGACACCAGTTTACTTTAATCTTGACCATCCAAGCCAAATAATACACAAAGAGTGAGAGCAGAAATTAAAACAATTATGCTGACTTGGGCATCTGTCTACTCACCTTTGCCACTAATGCACTGCTTCAACTCGCCAAGGACCTCCTTGCGCTCTCTTACACTGGCTGTGGTCACTTTCACAGCAAATTTCTTCAGTGTGTCTGAAACCTGGTGCAATAGACAGACATCCAAAATCAAAAAAGAAAGCTTTGGCTGGCAATGTGTCTCTGTAGCGCAACGTCAATCATTTGAACCACTTGCACTGCATTTATAAAAATGACAACGTTTAAAGTTATAACGTTGCCAGAAATCGTCAATTGATCAAGATGAAAAATAAATCTTCTGAGATTTTTATGGTATGACATCGGGCAGGAAATTATCAGACCACTCATAACAATCAAAACATTTTAATTTGCAACATTCTGGATACTGAGGCGTGGTCACCAAACGCATTATATGACATTCAGAAGACAGTCGTGTTTATAACTGGATAGCATTAAATAGCAATCAAGTTCCAACAAAAATAGGCTGTTACCAACAAAGAACAATTTCATGAAATGCGGCATGCTACCTAACAGGTAAATTAGTTAGGCTTGCTAAAATTTCGATGTATCTCAATCAACGGAGTTGGTCACCAATACGCACGACAAAACTCGCTTAGTAGTTAGCTAACAGCTAACTAGACACGTTGAGCCGCGACTAGTGTGGGCGGACTGGAGCTCCAACGTCACATAAATTGACGTTATCAAAAACATGACGTTGTCGTGTCTAACTGGAGGCTATTCTTTGTTGCTGTGTTCAAATGCTAGTAGGAACTAGGAAACTCTGAAATTTCAGAATTTCGAAGTTCCGACGTGCACTTGAACGCGGCGTGTGCTGAAACGCAGTTTTTGATAAACGTCAGAACTCCAGTTCCGCCCACACTAGTCGCCGCTCAACTCCATAGCGAATCGTGGAGTTGAGTCGGCAATGCTAGTAACGTTAGTAGCTAAACTAGCCAGAACTATGTGGGGTGTAATCATTAGTCCAAACAGTTTCAAAACGGAACGTTTTCCAACGACAACGAGAGTTCCTATGACAGATCCAGGTAGATTCCTCCCGGTTTCGCTCCGTTTGGTTCCTAGTGAATACACCCCTGGGTTATAATCATTACTCAAAATAGAAAGTTTTGCAACGAAAACTAGTGTTTCTATTGGACAGTTGCATGTAGGGCCCTCCCGGTTTGCTGAACCTGTCCAATAGAAACGTTTGGAGTCATTATTAAACCCCTGCACTCTCCGCATGTAACGTTGCTAGCTAGCTTAGCCAGCTGGATAGACTGTTTAGCTGGATAGCCAGCTGGATAGCCAGATCTATTTTTTTAAACAGGAAAACATACAGCCAGCCACAAAGTAATTATCCCTCATATCACATCTTCATTGTCAAAAGTATTTGGTAGACAAATTCTCGAGGAGGAATCAGCACAATTTTAAACATCTGCCACACAAACCTGCGTGTCCGCTGCCATCTTGCCAGTGAACTAGGAAGAACTTGTCACTTCCGGTTCATGACAACGCCTGATCACCACGTGATCCTACAGGTGGTAGACATTTGGAATATAATAATATATATAATATCTTTGCAATTGATACACAACCTAAAAAGTGAACTGTGCACATACTAATTTAGAAGGCAATCTCAAATCTTTGTATTATTATTTTTTTTACTGTCATCCTTCCTTGTCTAAACCTTCCACACTGCAACCAAGGGCCAAAAGAGTTGGCTGCTAGGGGGTATGTCAAGGCCAGATTTAGTCAGGGCTTCATGCTTTCCTTGTACAGAAAAACATTTACCCCACTATTCTTACAAATATTTTTGGTGAATTGTCTTTTCTATGCAAAAATATTCCTAGATATTATAAAAATTGGGTCTGTAGCAACTGATAATGTTATAAAATGCTAATAATGTAATAGCTGCTAATAAAGTAATAACTTTTGGATTTATAATGTTATAAATGCTGATAATGTAATACATTGCCAATAATGTAATACATTTGCTGAACAGATAACAACGCTTTTGCACATAATGTAATAATGATTACATTGTGTTGATTATTACATTATGAAATGGGTAACTATTTCCTTTGAATAGTGTAACTTTAACAAATAATGTAATATTCACTATTTCTTTAATGCATATCAAGTGTCATGCTTCAGTAATAGCTGACATGTAGTTCCATTGTTAGAGTGGTCACTCGACCATCTTGTCAATATAATGGATCATCTTTAACCATACCCCTTGGAGTGGACACGTCAGGTGGTGTGGGCGGGGGTACACATGAGTCTGGTTCCATCTCCTCTGTAAAGTCAAGCCTGGGATGAGGAGTGAAACTCCTGTTGAATATTTGTGTGATCATTAGAATTTGGCTAATCACATGACTGCAAGGTGGGTCTTCAAATATAGTTTTTTATTTTATTTTCTCTGACGACACTGGATGTTTGCAATAGTATCCCCCCGCCAAGTCTGTTGTGGCAATGGATGCAAATGCAAATAGTTCAAGTGTGACATTTAAAAGCGTCCGCATGCTTCCCGTCCGAAACAGTTCGTGATATTATAACTAACTACATTGTGGCGTTGTTCGTTTTGGTCTTCAGCATTGTTTTGGGGGGGCTGATTTGTCATTCAACGAGAGACTAATCGTTTTCATACAAGTTTTTTCACTTGAGAAATACCGCACCAAACATCTTAATGTAAAATGCGCGACTATGGTCTCCTTGGCAAAAACGTCTAAATGAATGACAGATTTCTTGAGTTCTTAGATTAATTCTGACTATTGAAGCGTTGACTACGGGCTACAGCATCTCAAGGTGGACAAATGGTACGATTGCCGTTTTTTCTAGTTTTTCAAACGGTGTTAAGAGAGTATGCGGCCGATCCGAAGCATGCCATTAAAGAAAGAGTGGTTTTAGGTTATTACATTATTGGGTTAATTTATGATTAAACCATTTAAAAAACCGCATAATGTCATTTATTACATTTTGTGCAAAAACATTTACGTTATGTATTCAGCATTTTTACGACATCAGCATTGATTACATAAATGCAAAAATGTTATTACATTATTGGCAGTTATTACTATAGCTGTTGCTACAGGGTGTTGAAAGGTAAACATGATCACAAATAAGACACTTTGGTACCAAAATCAGATTTTATTTGAGTATAGCCTATATGAAATGAGTTGGATCAGTATTCAGTACTGTGACATTTCAAATGAAAGGAGAAAAAAAGTGACATGGGACACAAAAACAGTCGCTTTGGTTAAATAATAGCCTTATACAATAATTCGGAATAATTCTGAAAATAAAAAAGAAAGGCTCTGGATGCAAATCCCTGAACAAGATACAGGCCCAATACAATTACGTAATGCAACCATTACATGATAGATAAGATTACAAGCCCACAAACCCAGCTGTTGTACAGTAGATGCAACTCAGATGCTTAGTTAAATAAGCCATTTCCTCCTTAGCTTTAGAGTTACACTCGCAGAGACCACTATCAGACCAATATCAACACATTATCCAGTGGACTCACTGACAGAGATCTGAAAAGATAGTCCAGGAATCACAGTCTATAAACAGTAGGCTACCTTGCTGGTCTCCCCAGTGTAAAATACATTGCATTGATATATTGGCACAAAAATAGATAGGCCTATTCCTTGAAAGCGTAACTTGGATAGAATCAAGCGGTTGTTGAGTTCTCCATACAATGTTTACAGTTGCACACAGTATTGTTTGCATTGAAGCGGTGTGTACTTACATCAGGGCTTAGCCTTGTGCAGTATTTATTTTACAAAAAAAGTGGAATACAATGCACAGTAACTTCCGGATATTGAGAAATAGAAAACTATCTCTGCTATGAAATGTCAGAGGATTTCTCTTAATGAGTGGTTATTCAAAATATTAACTGACCAGCGCTTTGTATACAATGTACACAAAAATATTCACAATATTCTCACAGTAAAATGTAACTGTCTCCTGTATGCAGAATACATTCTAATGTTTATCATGGCATGCTCTTTTATACTGCATGAGCCCTTTCTGAACAGAAAGCAACTCCAAAACCAGTCCAGCTTAGGTTTAAGCTCTAAAAGGACTGGGTAGGCAGTGACAGTTACAACATTACCCATCTGTTGTATTATGAGACTATTTTTACAAACATTAAAGGGAGTCAAATATTATTTGTTGTAAAGTAATCTGTCACATACACTACCGGTCAAAAGTTTTAGAACACCTACTCATTCAAGGGTTTTTCTTTATTTTTACTATTTTCTACATTGTAGAATAGTAGTGAAGACATCACAACTATGAAATAACACATATGGAATCATGTAGTAACCAAAAAAGTGTTAAATCAAAATATATTTTATATTTGAGATTCTTCAAATAGCCACCCTTTGCCTTGATGACAGCTTTGCACACTCTTGGCATTCGCTCAACCAGCTTCACCTGGAATGCTTTTCCAACAGTCTTGAAGGAGTTCCCACATATGCTTAGCACTTGTTGGCTGCTTTTCCTTCACTCTGCGGTCCGACTCATCCCAAACCATCTCAATTTGGCTGAGGTCGGGGGATTGTGGAGACAAGGTCATCTGATGCAGCACTCCATCACTCTCCTTCTTGGTAAAATAGCCCTTACACAGCCTGGAGGTGTGTTGGGTCATTGTCTTGTTGAAGAACAAATGATAGTCCCACTAAGCCCAAACCAGATGGGATGGCGTATCGCTGCAGAATCCTGTGGTAGTCATGCTGGTTAAGTGTGCCTTGAATTCTAAATAAATCACAGACAGCGTCACCAGCAAAAAGAAACACACCATAACACCTCCTCCTCCATGCTTTACGGTGGGAAATACACATGCGGAGATCATCCGTTCACCCACACCACATCTCACAAAGACAAGGCGGTTGGAACCAAAAATCTCAAATTTGGATCCTCCAGACCAAAGGACAAATTTCCACCGGTCTAATGTCCATTGCTCGTGTTTCTTGGCCCAAGCAGGCCTCTTCTTCTTATTATTGGTGTCCTTTAGTAGTGGTTTATTTGCAGCAATTCGACCATGAAGGCCTGATTCACACAGTCTCCTCTGAACAGTTGATGTTGAGATGTGTCTGTGACTTGAACTCTGAAGCATTTATTTGGGCTGCAATTTCTGAGACTGGTAACTAATGAACTTATCCTCTGCATCAGAGGTAACTCTGGGTCTTCCATTCCTATGGTGGTCCTCATGAGAGCCAGTTTCATCATAGCGCTTGATGGTTTTTACATTTACATTACATTTTAGTCATTTAGCAGACGCTCTTATCCAGAGCGACTTACAGTTAGTGAGTGCATCCATTATTTTTTTTATTTTTCATACCCCCCGTGGGAATCGAACCCACAACCCTGGCGTTGCAAACGCCATGCTCTACATCCCTGCCGACCATTCCCTCCCCTACCCTGGACGACGCTGGGCCAACTGTGCGCCGCCCCATGGGTCTCCCGGTCGCGGCCGGCTACGACAGAGCCTGGATTCGAACCAGGATCTCTAGTGGCACAGCTAGCACTGCGATGCAGTGCCTTAGACCACTGCGGCGGCACTTGTAGAAACTATCAAAGTTCTTGAAATGTTCCTTATTGACTGACCTTCATGTGTTAAAAGTAATGATGGACTGTCATTTCTCTTTGCTTATTTGAGGTGTTCTTGCCATAATATGGACTTGTTTTTTTACCAAATAGGGCTATCTTCTGTATACCCCCCCTACCTTGTCGCAACATAACTGATTGTCTCAAACGCATTAAGAAGGAAAGAAATTCCACAAATTAACTTTTAAGAAGGCACACCTGTTAATTGAAATGCATTCCAGATGACTACCTCATGAAGCTGGTTGAGAGAATGCCAAGGGTGTGCAAAGCTGTCATCAAGGCAAAGGGTGGCTATTTGAAGAATCTCAAAATATATTTTGATTTGTTTAACACTTTTTTGGTTACTACATGATTCCATATGTCTTATTTCATAGTTTTGATATCTTCACTATTATTCTACAATGTAGAAAATAGTAAAAATAAAGAAAACCCCTTGAATGAGTAGTTGTTCTAAAACGTTTGACCGGTAGTGTACATAAAATCAAAAGTGTAACATGTCAGCATTAGTATGTTTGTCAAAAACACCAAATGCTTGTGTGGAGGTGTTAATGATTGTGTGTCACAAGGCTGTGAAGGGGTCTGATGACACGACCGTGTGCTTCACAAGTACTAAAATAATGACTGACCCACAGCAGTTCTCCAGTCAACACTACAATTACATAATTTATCCATCTGTTCTCAGTTACTCGGACAGCAAAAGAAAAATGACCCAGGCCTTTTTTTTTTAAAGGCCTCCGCTGCAAAAAACAAATAATAAACATTTAAAAAACACGACAGGTCAACTGAACCCTGCTCTAATAACATGACACATTTCAAATGGTTTCAGAAGACACACTCAACCAGTGAGCAACAACCTCAAACACTATTCCATGTACGTATATTCCATGTGTTCAGCAAGCATTTACCCGGATTACAAAAGCAAAGCAAAACTACTTGGGTTTGAAATCATACGCTATTCTGAGCATCACAGAGAGAGCAGACAGGCCTAGACCTGATATGGATGTCCATTACACTTCAGGGGCTAATAGGAGAATGATGGAACTACACACGCGCACACCATCACACTTTCTAAAATGCACTCAATCTGATTCGCACACACTACCTGAGCTACACAGACACTTCCCCCATACACACACTTGTGAGCCACACACACACACACACAAATCTCCAGGCATAGACAATCTACTCCTTAACTGAAGAGTTTCACAAAGCAGCCCTGGCAGTAGGGCTTGTCGTTCTGCTCCTTGAAGGTGCCCTTGTTGAGTTGCTTGAGGCAGAAGGCACAGACAAAGTGCTCCGGGTGGAACTTCTTGGCCATGGCTGTGATGCAGCGGCCCGTGATGGGCTTCTGGCAGCCAGAGCAGAGGGAACCACGGCGCTCGTGGTAGTGCACCTCACAGTAGGGCTGCCCATCATGCTCAAAGAAACTCCCATTCACAAATGGGGTGAAGCACTCCTGCATACACAAACAGAGGGGGTAATGAGTAAGTACACGAGTCAGGAATAATAACATCAACATGAATGCCCTTATATGAAGGGAAAAGGGCAGAATACAGACCCTGCAGACAAAGCACTCTGGATGCCAAAGGGAGTTCAGTGCAGAGATGTAGTTCTCCAGGATGGCTCGGGCACAGCCGCCACATTTAGGCGCAAACATGTCAAAGTAGTCCTTCCTACAGTACGCCTTCCCATCCTTCTCATGGAAGCCTTCATGAGACACATACAGATCATGAGTTCTGCATCTCACTCTAGAACTGGTCATTACAAGTGAGCTCCAAGAATTGGTCAAACTCACCCTCTGGGCCAAAGAATGATCCACACTGAGCACAGAAGAAGTGTTCAGGATGCCATGTCCTGTCCAACGCAGTCACAACTTTCTGTAGACATAATCATTGGAACAGTTACTCTCTGCTAGCTGCTATTGCGAGACTGTATCTGTGCACTGCCTTAGTTGTAATAAGTTATTTTTGTAGTATATGGTGTTTGCTTACATCCAGAATAGGTCCGTTGCAGTAGTGGCAGCGTGGGGAGAACAGGTTGTGGTAGTCCTTCTCGCAGTAGGGCGCTCCGTCACGCTCAAAGAAGTTCCTGGAGCCTATCTCCTCCTGACAGTGTGTGCACACAAAGTGCTCTGGGTGCCACGTGCGCCCCATGGCAGTTACCACCTGGACACACAGATCGACAGTATATGTAAATTAACCACGCTAACAAAGCTCAGCAATTAAATGTAACGTAATGAGAGACAATGGTCTTAGAAAGGTCACCAAAGCCTAATCTCAGGCCCACCCAATCCCCTCACCTGTCCCACGATGGGTTTACAGCAGGCCCCACACACTCCCTTGGCCACAGTCTGCACACCCAGCTTATGGAGGTCAGACTGCAGGCTGCCGAGCATGTTGTCCAGCTTGTTGACCTGCGTTGGGAGGCCTCCAGGGACACCTTTCCCCTGGGCCATGATCTGTCAAAAGATGGAGGGTGAGAGGAGAGTACGGACACCAGAGCATAGTGCATTCTCTCATACAAACAAATCTGCACAAATAACTAACTAAACAGTGGGTTTAATGAAGGAAACTGAAGCCAGTGAGAAAGAGATAAGGGGTTCTGTCACTTCAGAAATAGAAAGGTAGAGACGGAGAGCCATGCCTGCATCGGAGGTAATATTGGGTCGTATTCGGTTTGACAGCCAACGGACACCAGGGCTTTGGGGGGAGGTGGTGGTGGCGCAGGCTGCACCGGTGGAGGCGGCGCTGGGGCAGCGGGCTCTGGCTTGGGGGCAGGGGGCTGCTGTACTGGGACAGGTGGGGGTGGAGGTTGTACAAGCGGAGGTGGGGGAGGGATGGGTTCCTGGGGTGGAGGAGGTTGAGGAGGGGGACAGGGGGGAGGGGTAGGAGGTAGGGGAGCAGAGGTCTGCTTCATAGGTGGGGGTCTCCTGGGTTCTTCTATAATAGGAGGGTGACGAGGGGCTGGGGGAGACTGGGGTGGGGAAATGACCCTCTGAGTTATAGGTGACTCTGGGGGAATAATGATCTGAGGAGAAGAAGAAGACAGACAGGGACAACCAGAGAAAATGAAAAGGTAAAGAACGGAAAGTGAAGTGAAATTTCAGAGTAAAAATTCATGAGAAATGTGCAATAGTATCTGGGATGGTGGGATCCTGTTATGATCGTATCCAGGCCAACCTTGTCCACCTCGTTCGCAGCCCCGTCACCACGGAAACGCTGTGGCTTGGACATGACGATGACACCCTCAGTGAGCCAATCGTCAGGCTGCTTACGCCGGCGGTCAGCCAATCGACCAATCCCCAGCTTCCCCTGCAGCTCCTCTATGAGGCGGTCCTGGGAGCTGCTCTTGTTGACAATGATGGGGCCCACCCGCCCCCTCCGGGGGTGACTCTCTCGGTACATGGGGTGCACGTTGGGGGTCTCCTTGGTGCGCCTAATCACTGATTTAAGCTAGAAGGAGAACGAGCATCAGGAATCCACTGTGATCCAGTTACAATACCGCAGGCCAGGTGAGTGGTTCAGTTCAGAGGAAGCAGTCCATTCAGATGAAGCACCATTCCAGTTCACTCAAAGCCAAAGGCAGCCATCTCCTCAAGGGTGTGTAGCAGCAGTGGGTAAAGTCATGTCCAAAGGAACATGTCAGTCACACTCATGCGGCCTTACGTGCTCAGACCCCATCCAACCTCCCCACAGTCCCCATATGCTCCCTGACCATTTAGCAGAACATGGTTGTGCAAGATGGGGGCGTCATGCCACATTGGTACAACAAGTAAGGTAGTCATAGGATGTGGTCACAAATCTAATTGTTTGGTTTTAACAAAACATGCCAACAAAGGACACAGCCAGGCAGTGAACAATTAGCCACTCTGCAGAGGCAGCAAACATCCTGGTGTGCAGATTGTAATGACATTATCTCAACAACAACAAAGAATAACAGATGTTTTGGTATCAAAACGACCATCTTTCTGAGATTACAGAAATGTGTTATGCTATTGTATGAATAACATTTAACTCTGACCAGGGTTGGGGAGTAGCGAATTACATGGAATCGGATTAACTAGTCAGTTACATTATCAGCTAAAATATTGTAATCAGATTACAGATACTTTTTAAAAAAACAATGTAACTTAAAAATTTTGAAAATACATTTGCAAAAACAATACATTGACACCTTTCTGTTTTCTCAATGACATTCAAGTCGGCATTGAAAAAAGGTGCTAGTTTAAGTTTCTTCCACCTGAGCAAGTCTGGAGACGACTATGATGACACACCAAATGCGTTTGATGGATCCTTTTAGTCTTCTAATGCCTCTTAAGGGCAAAGTAATCAAAAAGTATCAGATGACGTTACTGATTACAATTTTGGATAGGTAAGTAGTAACTAATGGATTACATTTAGAAAGTAACCTACCCAACCCTGTTGTTTCTATGTGTGTTTGTGCAGAGCAGAAAAGTGTGATGGCGAGGGCAGTCCCGTACATGTCCAGATGCCGAGACCCTGTCCACGGTGACATGCTGCAGCAGAGGCAGGTCCAGGGAAGCATCAGGAGTCCCAGGACAGGAGGAGCCATCCAGGGACTCATCCATCCAGCTGGCCTCAGTCATCGGGGTCATGCTCCCATCTGTATAAGGTCTCTCTGTATTAGGAGTCATACTACCATCCAGTCCATCTTGGAGACACATGTTCAGCTCCACATCAGCCCAGTCCATGAGCTCCCTGTGCCCATCTATGTGTCCACTCATTACTGACCCATCGCGGGTAATTGTCCCTTCATGGGTACTTGCCCCGTCCCGGGTACTCCCGGTGGTGTCCGGCTGCACCTCCCTTCTGGCTAAGGGCATGATGCACTCTTCATGCACCACCTCCCTCTTCAGCCAAGGTGCCTCCATAGGGACTCTATCATTCTCCATCTTGGTGAAACTCATGGCCAGCAGCTTATCCAGGGCTTCATCCAGAGAGGGCTCAGCTACAGGGACTGGCTCCAGCACTCTCCTGGAGATCTTGGGGCTAGTGAGAGCTGGGGGAGAGGGAGCCTTGGGATACGTGACCAGAGATGGTGAGGGGGCTTTAGAAGAAGTGAGAGGAGTAGGGGACTTGGTGACAGAAGCTGAGAGAGGTAAAGGGGACTTGGAGTTAGAGAAAGGAACAGGACTAAGGCTCTTAGTAGTAGTTTGAGTAGATAAACTTAGATCCATGTCAGTTAGGGGACTGGGGCTTTTGGTAACAGAGAGAGTTATGCCACATTCTATAGAGGGACTAGGGAATTTTAAGGGGTTCTGGTCCAGGGTGGTGCAGGCTGAGGTGAGTGATGGTTTAGCAGCATTGGGAGGACTGGGGTCTGTGCTAGGTGAAGGTTTGGAGTGGTTGAGGACTACCAAGGACTTCTGATGAGAGGACAGCATGGTGGGAGAGATGTCGATGAAGACTTCTGGTTCTGGGTCACTCTTTGCAAAGGACAGAGGGCTCTGGGAGGTTACAGTTGCTGGGGGAGGGTTTGATAATGATGGATGTGGAGGGGACACTGCCCCCCTACCTTCCTCCTCTATGTGCAGCTCCCAGGCAGGCAGAGAGAAGAGAGGGGAGTCACAGGCAGGTTGAGAGGGGAGAAGGGGGGAGGGGGCAGCTGCAGCTGCAGCAGGGGCGGAGGGGGTACGTGGATGGACCTTCAGAGTGCTGCTGGGGGAGGTTTCTGCCTGATCCAGCTGGGGATCAAAGTTCATAGACCCGAAGGAGCCAAGAACAGGCTAGAGGACAGGACAGGACAGGAGAGAGGAAAAGGACACCACAAGAGGAGGAAGATATTAAAGGGAAATAATCAGATCAGAAAATATAGGATTTTTTCATAAAAAGGACAAGCGTAAGTCCTGTCCACACACACTGCTGTGCACCTTGAAGTCGGACAGGGAGGCCATGAGCTCGTCAAGCTCGCGTGTAGCACAGGATGCTGAGATTCTGGCCTGCTGCTGAGAGGAGGAGTCCAACTCACTGTGAAGGACAGAGGGGCTGGGGATGCAGAATACACAAACAAAGCACATGATCACACACACAATCCAACCTGGACCCCCTGAAACAAGTCATTATTCATTCAATCATAGCACATGATCAGATAGAGCACCACAATCAAGGCTACAGTAGATTATTAACATGATCTCATTGCTAGCTAGCATTATCCTATAATTCAAAGTGATGACAAACTCATCCTTGTCCATCTGTGACTCTTGAATAGGAGTAACTGCCAATATTCTTACCTGGGATTGGGTACAGAACCCTCCAGCTCATCCAGCAGACTCTCCACTGTGGGCCGGCCATCCTCCACCACCCTGGTCCCATTCTGTTTGGGCTTCTCCTGAACGGGAGGGCTCACCATGATGTCAGCGTGCCCCCCGTTCTGCTGCACATAGTTGGTAATGCTGCAGGATGGCAGGGGTGGGGCGGTTTCCTCTGTGGGTAGAGAGGACAGTGGGACATCGTTCATCATCACAGTAACATGCAGTAAACACATACTGCAAAGACAAGACCACCTATTGCACAGTTAAATGACAGAGAAGTGCCACTTTGGTAATATAAACACCAAAACCTAGTGAATATTTTTGTAGGATGTGTTTCACTGTCTGTCTACCTGTGGTGGGGAAAGAGGGAGAGTTCTGCTGGACAGCATTGAGCTCCAGGAGCAGCCTGTCTAGCTCTGACAGGTTACTGCCTAGCATTGAGCTCATGGCAGCCGCAGATGGGTCAGCAGACTTCTGTTTGTTGGGGAAACTGAGAGACAATGGGTGTCAATTGTGGTCGAGTGTAAAAAACAGACAGAGTGAGACGGTCTAGTAGTCTCCCAGTGGGGGTCCCTTCAGAGGGATCTGTTCCTATGGCCCTTCTGCCTACCTGTAGACGTGGTCCTCTTCAATGTGGGACAGGGGCGGGCTGCTACTGCCCCTGGACCATGAGCTCTTCTGAGCTGAACCCAAGGACTGCAGAGAAGAGAACATTCACTCAGTTTAGTAATGAAAAGCCATTTACTGAATGATATGCGCAAGTGTGAGTAGTGGGTCTGATGTGTGACTGACCTGTTGGGAGGAGTGGAGGGAGTCAGGGGAGTCGATCACAGAACCATTCAGAGCCTCAGCAGAGGGAGGGGGCGGCACCGGGGGAGGGACTGACACATCCTGGTAAGAGTTTCCCCCAGTGGGGAAAGAGTAGGGCGTCTCCTCAGATAGGAACACAGGATGCTTGGAGATGTGGGATGTCGTGGATTCCAGGTCCGCCAACAAAGCGTCTGAGGAGGAAAGAGATGCTTCCATGGTTAGACACAGTTTAGAGCTCTTACACTCATTCATAAATATTAGACAGAAATACAAACCCCAATACTGCCATCGTGACATCAAAACAAAAATGTGTTTTGGAAGCACAAGGGAGGGCAGACTTTCGTTCAGCACTATTCTCTTTCCCCCTCTTTCTGGAGCAATCATTCACAGAAGATTAAGATGCAACAAGACTTTTCCTATGCTCAGTATGAATGAGAACAGTTTGCAGACGTAGTTATGTTGCCTCCATTATAATGTGAAAAATATTAAAAGCACGTAACGTGTAGGGCAGGGAATTGCCAGGGACGATATTTTCACGATACGATATATATTGCGATTCGATACTGTGATTTTATTGTAATTTGATGTTCCAAACATATTGCATACGATACTTAGTGTACAAAACAGGACACCAGCTCTTTCCATGACATACACTGACCAGGTGAAAGCTATGATCCCTAATTGATGTCACTTGTTAAATCTACTTCAAATCAGTGTAGATGAAGGGGAGGAGACAGGTTAAAGAACGATTTTTAAGCATTGAGACAATTGAGACATGGATTGTGTATGTGTACCATTCAGAGGGTGAATGGGCAAGACAAAAGATTGAAGTGCCTTTGAACGGGGTATGATTGTAGGTGCCAGGCGCACTGGTTTGTGTCAAGAACTGCAACGCTGCTGGGTTTTTCACACTCAACAGATTCCCATGTGTATCAAGAATGGTCCACCACCCAAAGGACATCCAGCCAACTTGACACAACTGTGGGACGCATTAGAGTCAACATGGGCCAGCATCCCTGTGGAACTCTTTCAACATCTTGTAGAGTCCATGCCCTGGCGAATTGTGCTATTCTGAGGGTAAAAAGGGGTGCAAATCAATGTTAGGAATGGGTTTCTAATGTATAGGTCTGCTGCAGAGGGACAAGACATTTAAATTTTTGTCATTTAGCATACGATCTTATCCAGAGCGACTTACAGTTAGTGCATTCATCTTAAGATAGCTAGGTGGGACAACCACATATCACAGGCATAGAAAGAAAAAATTTCCTCAATAACGTAGCTATCAGTAGAGCTAGAAGTCAAGGTGAGGAGGAGGATTATTTACGATACTGTTTGAAGGTAGGGTTTCAGATGTTTTCAGAAGATTGGCAGGGACTCTGCTGTCCTAGTTTCAGGGGGAAGCTGGTTCCACCATTGGGGTACCAGGAAGAGAAGAGCTTGGACTGGGTTGAGCGGGAGCTGCCCTCCCGTAGGGGTGGGAGGGCCAAGAGACCTGAGGTGGCAGAACGGAGTGCTCAGGTTGGGGTGTAGGGTTTGAGCATAGCCTGAAGGTAGGGAGGGTCAGTTCCTCTTGCTACTCCGTAGGCAAGTACCATGGTGTTGTAGTGGATGCGAGCTTCGACTGGAAGCCAGTGGAGTGTGCGGAGGAGCGGGGTGACATGAACTTGGGAAGGTTGAAAACCGGCGGGCTGCAGCGTTCTGGATAAGTTGCAGGGGTTTTGACAAGAGTGCCATGAGAAAATGAGTTTATCAGTCAAAAGTACTGAAAACAAATTTGCTTCCTATTTAAAAATAAGATGGAGAACAAGCTATGCACCAAAAATACTGGAGTTTTGGTGCAGGTACAGTGCAAAAATAATATTGCGATAGGCAAAACGATACATTGGTAAAATAATATCCCGATATGCACACTCTTGGCATTCTCTCAACCAGCTTCACCTGGAATGCTTTTCCAACAGTCTTTAAGGAGTTCCCACATATGCTGAGCACTTGTTGGCTGCTTTTCCTTCATTCTGCGGTCCGACTCATCCCAAACCATCTCAATTGGGTTGAGTTCAGGGCATTGTGGAGGCCAGGTCATCTGATGCAGCACTCCATCACTCTCCTTCTTGGTAAAATAGCCCTTACACAGCCTGGAGGTGTGTTGGGTCATTGTCCTGTTGAAAAACATATGATAGTCCCACTAAGCCCAAACCAGATGGGATGGCGTATCGCTGTAGAATGCTGTGGTAGCCATGCTGGTTAAGTGTGCCTTGAATTCTAAATAAATCACAGACAGTGTCACCAGCAAAGCACCCCCACACCATAACACCTCCTCCTCCATGCTTTACGGTGGGAAATACACATGCGGAGATCATCCGTTCACCCACACCACGTCTCACAAAGACATGGCGGTTTGGAACCAAAAATCTCAAATTTGGACTCCAGACCAAAGGACAAATTTCCACCGGTCCAATGTCCATTGCTCGTGTTTCTTGGCCCAAGCAGGTCTCTTCTTCTTATTGGTGTCCTTTAGTAGTGGTTTATTTGCAGCAATTCGACCATGAAGGCCTGATTCACACAGTCCCCTCTGAACAGTTGATGTTGAGATGTGTCTGTTCCTTGAACTCTGTGAAGCATTTATTTGGCCTGCAATTTGAGGCTGGTAACTCTAATGAACTCTGGGTCTTCCATTCCTGTGGTGGTCCTCATGAGAGCCAGTTTCATCATAGCGCTTGATGGTTTTTGCGACCACACTTGAAGAAACGTACAAAGTTCTTAATTTTACGGATTGACTGACCTTCATGTCTTAAAGTAATGATGGACTGTCGTTTCTCTTTGCTTATTTGAGCTGTTCTTGCCATAATATGGACTTGGTCTTTTACCAAATAGGGCTATCCTCTGTATACATTACATTTACATTTTTGTCATTTAGCAGACGCTCTTATCCAGAGCGACTTACAGTTAATGAGTGCATACATTTTCATACTGCCCCCCCCCCCCCCCGTCACAACACAACTGATTGGCTCAAACGCATTAAGGAAATAAATTCCACAAATTAACAAGGCACACCTGTTAATTGAAATGCATTCCAGGTGACAACCTCATGAAGCTGGTTGAGAGAATGCCAAGAGTGTGCAAAGCTGTCATCAAGGCAAAGTGTGGCTATTTGAAGAATCTCAAATATATTTTGATTTGTTTAACACTTTTTTGGTTACTACATGATTCCATGTGTTATTTCGTAGTTTTGATTTCTTCACTATTATTCTACAATGTAGAAAATAGTAAAAATAAAGAAAAACCCTGGAATGAGGGTTTTTTGACTGGTACTGTATGTGTATGAGTCAGTGTCTCATTCCAACCGGTCACTCAGCCTCCTCACTCCAAAAAAGGCCTGCTCCCCAGGGCCCCTCCACAGTAGTCCTGTCCTGCCCCAGCACCAGGAGCTAAGGTTAGGTCATCAGCATAGATCCACACAGACATACAAATCCCCAGTGTCATTTCTAAACCCACTACGCCTGGTTAACATTCCCACCTGAAACCCCTAACGTCTCTGTCCATCAATCTTTCTATTGGGCCCTAAAAATATATAGCTCCTGTCAGTAAGTACCTGGCTATCTGTCTTGGCTTGTCCATTGTTCCATCCGTCCATTTGTCAAGAAGATTTGTGTGAGCATGAGACAGACAGCATATCTCCTCCAGGGCTATCAAGTGTACAGTACAGCATTAGTGTTCCCTGGAACACCAGAACAAAAATAGACCCTGACATCACCCATTCCATCCATCCTCAGTCAGTCAAAAATGTTGCACATACTGGATGATGGCACAGGGAATCCTCAGTCTATTTGACGTAAATAAGCGTAAAACCTAGAGAACATTAATTGGTTTAAATAAGTTATCTGATAAATGGAAAGTCTAAGATCCCAACCTTACAACAACGTCATGAGGTGAACAACAATAGTCAAATTCATTTTTTGGTTCAAGTGGGCATCATACATACTCCCCCTAAGACTAGTCAAAAAGTCCATCTTAGGTCACACACAAAAAAATCTTCTTTGTAAGTCAAACAAAGCAAAATCACACATGCAAGAAACTAAGATGACATGAGGTTAACAGAGAATATTCAAATCTTTGCTGGGCAAAATGCCCCCTTACTATACTCACGACATGCCACCTGACGACCCAGTACCCTAGAGTATGTGAGTGCGTAACTGTGTATGCAAAACAGAGGGACTGAGACAGACAGAGGACTAGCTAATGTCCCATCTGCTGAGGGTGTGGTTTGGTGGCGGAGGAGGGGGGGGGGGAATCAGAAACAGACACAGGATATTATTACAATTCCTTACTCTAAGCATCTCCCTCCAACTCACCCCGGGGCTTCCTTTTTCTCTCATAAAAAAGGAAATAGTTGTCTACTTCTGTAAACTGACTGAAGTTTTTAGCTCTAGTTTTTAAAATTGCCATCAACATAAAAAAGGAACTAGTTGTCTACTTCTGTAAACTGACTGAAGTTTTTAGCTCTAGTTTTTAAAATTGCCATCAACTGGACATGTTGTCAATGACATCTCTATAGAGCCTTCACTTTATTTTAACCTATTCTCTACCACAACTTCCTTCCACAGTACTTCCCCCACTGTTCATTCAGACCGCAGAGACCCCAACCAGTAGGTTGAGTAGGTAGAGCATGGCGCTTGCAACACCAGGGTTGTGGGTTCGATTCCCACGGGGGGCCAGTATGAAAAATGTATACACTCACTAACTGTAAGTCGCTCTGGATAAGAGCGTCTGCTAAATGACTAACATTTTTTTATTTTTATAATGTTAAACCACATGGGAGAAAAACCTATTTAAAGCTGTGCTCTCAGCAAGTAAGTCTGCACAAACGTACTGAACTATAACTACCAGCTCGAAATAAGCTGCACCTGGTGCTGACATGCTGACAAAGGTCTTAAAGTTTACTTCGTCACTCTTACAATAAAGCCTAATGAAAATCACTATCCTCTCCCCAAATGGTCATTCATTTCTGAATATCTTACACGGTGTGGTTTCCCTTTAATAATAAATAATCATAAAAGTTATTACTGAAAGATTAAAATCACACATAGCTAGCTAGGTATGATATACAGTACACAGAATAACTTTGACCTTACGCATGGCAGTGCAGGCAAGCCTTACCAACCCTCCACTTTGAGAGGAATGGACACACCGCCAAGTTCCTCAGTATGTTGTCAGACTGG